GAGCCATTCTCTTCTCTTTTGCTTTTCTCGGCGACACTGCCACTCATTTAATTTGTTAAAATTTTTCGTAAAAATTTTAAAATTAAAGTTAAATAAAAGTTTAATTTTAAAATTAATTAGAAAATTCAATAAAATAAAAAAGTATGCAAAATAATTTCATTAATTTTCCTTTGAAAAATGGTCCAATAAATATTTCTTTCATTCTTATTTTATTTTATTTTATTACATTTTAAATAGCCAATATTTTCTTTCATTTCATTTCTTCAAAATTCAATATTTATTATTCGCTATTTAGATTTTAGTTTTTAGTAGAATTCTTCCAAATTTTATTTTTCTCTCATTTTAGAAATATTATTTCGAATCAAAAACTACTTATCTCAGCGTTCATCTTACTTCTTCTTTCTGTTTTTTTGCTGAATAAAATTTTTAATTTTTAATTTTTTTTGTTTTTTTTATTTTTGAAAATTTTTATTTTTTTCAAAAATTTGTTATTATTAATTATCTTTTTAATGTTTTTTTTCTTTTCATATAATTTCGAAAATTATAAAATAATTTGAAATTTTTCGAATTTTTTTAATTGTCCATAATAGCGATCAAACTGTGGCGAAAATCAAATCAATTTGAATCTATTTTTAAATTTAATTTATTTTTAAATTAAATTTGTTTTTGAAAAAAATGTGTATTTTTTTATGGATAATTGCAGGATAAATACCTTTGTTCGATTTATTTTATTATTGAAAGTTTGATTTATTTTTTAAATTTTTCAATTCATCACTTTTTATTTATTATACTTCCATGGATTTTGATTTATTTGAATATAAATGAAAAAATCTATTCATTGCCTATTTACTCTTTTTAATAAATAGCAATTAGTAAATAGAAAATCTGATTGTAAAATAGTAAATGGTACCTAAAATTGATTCCCACTAATCATTATTCCCTGGCTATCTTTAAAAAAAGATTAGATAATATCATTTATGATATTATTTAAAAAATTCACATCATACAGAAAGTATGAAATCTCGATTTTTACCATCCGATTATAGTTATTTCGAATTGTACTATATTATAATATTTTGCAATTTCTTCTTTATTTCATTCTTTAAATTGTTTATTTTATTTTATTATTATTATTTTTTGTTTTTGTCTTTAATTCTTATTATTTGTTATTTTAACTGTTGTTATTAATACAAGCACATGGCGGTTGCGCCCTGTTTGGCTGGTTTTCTATAAATAAATAAATAATCATCTGTGTAATGGTTTATCTTTTAGCTTAGCCAAACTTCAATTCTTCCCTCTTCGTTTATTTTCTTATTTTTCAAAAACTGGTTAACAAGCTAAAGGACGAGAACAAAATAGAATAAATCCTTTGATTGCGTGATCTTAGCCAAAGGCAATATTTTTTTTTGTTGAGCTATTATCTTAATTCGCGATCTCTTATGATTCAAAATTTTTTAATAGCCGATTGAGATAGTTGAAAGAGAAAAAAAAACGAAGAAAGTTATCTTAGTTATTATCTTAAATGAATTTACATATTTAATAGTACCATTAGAGAATACCGCTTAGCGCACATTCTTCATCGTTTACCACAGTAGTTGACACATATTTCTAAATTAATTGCTAAACGTTATAATAGGTGGTATTAAAAAACGAGGCGAGGAAATTTTGAACATAGAGATAGACCAGCGATGTATGGATTTAGACGGTGTCTAACAGCTTGCAAATCTCCTAGCCTTATAATAAAGCAAAGTCAACCTAACCAATAACGGATTCATACAGAGTTTTTTTTAGAAGAAAGAATAAGCCGATCGCAATTCATATTGACGAAATTTACTAATATTTGCCTTAATTATTACGCATCATTATCTACGAAATTATTCCCTAATAATGCAAACAAATGATTAAATAAAGTTTGAAAATATTTTCACGAAAATAAATATTTCGAAGGAATGCATAAAATGATAATGTTTTGCATGCATATTATTGACATTTTTTTTTTCGCCAAAATATTTCATTCATATTTGCATAATTTTGCATGAAATTTATTTTAAAATTTATAAATTCGTTTTTAGAAAATTTTTTTTATAAAATAATTTTATAATTTTAATTTTATTTTTAAAATATTTATAAAAAAAGCAATTTTGCATTTTAGTTATATTATGGAAAAAATTTTTAGAAATAAATGAAATTTTCTTTTTAGAAATTTATTAAAAAAGAATTTTAAAAAATCGATCGAAACATCGAAAATTTTCAATGCTATTTGAAAATAAGATTATTTGAAAAATAAAATACTTAATGTTTATAAATCCTTCTTTTTTTTTTAAATTATGGCATTCTTTAAGAGATAAAATATTTTTGCAATATATGAAGACGAATGATTGATTATTTTATCTCAAAAGACCAAAAAAAATTGAAAGTGATTTTAATCCAAATTTAAGTATTATTTTATTTTTTTTTATTTTGAAATGAAGAAAATGTTTATAAAAAAGAAATAAAAATATAATTTTAATTTTTATTATACATTAACATTTTTTAATGTTAACATTTGATAAATATTTATTATTTTTTTAATATAATATATAATATATTTAATATAATTGATTTAATATAAAATATTAATATGTATTGTTGTCTTCTTTTAAAAGAGGACTTTCAATCTGGGTTGGCTGATTTTGGCTGATTATTAGGATGAGAAATATTTTCGCCAATGAGTCACATGAGAGCGAAAGTGCAGTATATCCTCAATACCACCCGGATTCCACTTATCAATGACAACTTTATTATTCCATTCTAGAGGGAATGAATGAGTTGAACGCATGATGACTGATTTTAGTCGAAATAGCACATCGCTTGGCCATTCCTTTCCACATATTTAATTTGTGCATTAAAGGAATTAATTTATATATTTTTTTAATATTTTTAATATAATATTTTAGTAAAAATTTGTTTTTTAATGGATTATTTATAAAAATTTTAATAATTTTAAATAATTTATAAATTTTTTTAGAACGATTTTGGAGTTTAAAGAAGAAGAAATTTGGATTTTTCTCCTAAAAATTGCATTTGAAATGGAAGCAAATAGTATAATCTGATTTGTTTTACATATTTTGTTCGCATTATTCCATTCTAAACAACAACGATAAACGAAAAAATATTTTAATTTTTTTCAGGGTTTTGCGAATTTCATAGAAATAAAAAAATTTTTTCATAAATTTTTTGATTCAAATAATTTATAAAAAAAAAAAATTGAATTTTGGTTTATTTTTTCCATTCTTAGTGATATTAATATTGAGTTTTTCCTTTTTTTTTTGAGAAATCTCCATCGTCAACTCCAAGGAATTGGCTAACAATGACCTAATTTGCAATTAATACTATTATTATTTATTAAAGATTTTCTTGAAATATCAATGTAATTTTTAAATATTTTAAATATATTTTTTAAGAAAATACTTTTATATTAAAATATATTTAATATATTTAAACAAAAAAAACAATATAAAAAAAATAAAATAATTTTTGATATATTAAAATATAAAACATAAAACAAAAATTTTAATTTTAATTAAGAAATATTTTAATATTTAATATAAATTATTTAAATATGTTTTTATTAAATATGTTTTATTTATTTGAATATATTTTCAAAAATATCTTTAAAATCTTAAAAAATTACGATAAATTTTCAATTATATATTTCAGATCAATTTGCTCGAAATTATTTAGGTTTTTTTTTTTTACTAATATTTATTTTTATTTCTGAATTTTATAAAATATTTAATATTTCCTGAATTATTTAATATCAATTATTTAAAAAAACAAATAGAAGGAAATATAAATTTTCTTGTTTTTTTGGTTTTTTTTTCTTATTCTTATAAAATAATAAAATATAGCATATAATATTGATCAATTTTTAAATTAGTACTATTCAAAAGCTTCCGAATATGAATAGCAAAAGATTAGAAAATTATTGAAGCCACTTCAGAAGGAAATTTTGATATTTTATTTTTCCTATTTTTCTTTAAACATTCTTCAATTCTAATAGGAAAATATTTGAATATTTTCTATTTTAAATTTTCATCTAATAGAAAAATTTCTTTATTGAAACTTTTTAAATGATTCAATAAAATTTTCTTAATACATTATAATTTGTTATGATTTATTTGTTTATAAATTATTATGAGAGTTATTTAAAAATTCTCTAAAAAGTCATCGTCGTCGTCGTCATTTTACTGTCAATTGTTTATTAGCATTTGCAGCATTACCCTAGTAAAAAATTAAAAATTATCAAAAATTAATTATTATCAATTTTATCAATTCTTAAAAATTTAAAATAAATTTTCAATTGTATATTTTAGATCAATTTGCTCGAAATTATTTAGGTTTTCTTTTTTTTTTTTCAATTAAGAAATATTTTTCTTTTTTATAAAGAAAAGTAAACCAATTTATCATTAGAAAGTACGATTAAACATACACTTAGACTTATTGCAATTCGAGTGAATTCGGCCTTATCAGAAGGGGTGAAAGCAAAAAGCGGACGCTAGCAGCACTCGGTATTTTTGAAAAAAACATTCTATTACGTCGCAATAAGTACCTCAGTAGAACCGCAGAATCGGCGTTCCGAAATTAGACGAACCAACTTATTGAGAAATTTCATTCACTCATTATTTGCTTATCATTTTTAACATTTTTATTTACCATTTTTTTTTTTTTTTTATGTCTTTGTTTTTATTTTATCAATTTCGCCACCTAATTTATTGTTTTTACCTACTTTTGAGAACGCAAAATATATTTCAATATTATATACTCGTAAAACACGAATTATATTTGGGAGATCGCGAAATTCGCGAAATTTTCATCAAAATAAAGTGGTTACGCGATTCATTTTACGCGAATAAATAATTATTATTTATAAAAAGACGAAGATAAATTTTCAGATATAAATCGCAAAATTCATCTAATTTTAACTAATAATGTTCTTTATTTTATTACCAACCTAAAATATGGGTTTTCTTCTAAGTTATTCCATTCTATTATGCATTCCATTCGTATTTTCACTATATAATAATATTATTAAAAATACGCTTTACATATACAACAATGAATTAACAAATAATGCAAATCGCTTTCTCAAAAATATTAAAGATGATTTTATTGTTTATGGAGTAACACAGGTTTATTTTACAATTATTATTAAAATTATTACAGCAAATTTATAATATTCTTATTATTATTATTAATAAATTTATTATAATAATATTATTATTTATATTATTGTAATAAACAATAAATTATTATATTTTTAATTTTTTTTAAATTTTATAATATTAGAGAAAATTAAAATTGAAAATTAAAATAAATTTTCTTTCAATTTTTTATGAATAAACTTTTAATTATATTGTTTCTTAAAAATATTAAACTTAAAATAATTTATTCAATATAAATCTTAAAAATAATCCATCTAAGATTAAATGATACTCGATTTAATCCCTTTCATTTAGCATCTTTGACGTCTTTCTTTTCTTTCATATTTCCAATTCTTATTTTCGAATTTTAAATAAGAAAGAAGAAAAACAAATCATAAATTGTTCGTTCGCTATTATGGTGATAAAATTTTATTATTATGCATAAAATTAGTCTAATTCAGTTTCAGTTGTTACTTTGGCAATAAAATTCGATTATTAAAAAAAAAAATTGATAGCGATTTTTTATAATGTTTTATCTGATTAAAATTATATAAGTCGAAACAGGTGTTATTTGAACGAAAATCCAATATTTGAAGATAAAATACATAAAATTTAAAAAAAAAAATTTTTTTCTTTTTTTTAATAGTTTCTTTAAAAATATTAAATAAATAAATTTTTTAAATTATTATAATAATATTATCATTAATATTATTGTAATGAACAATTAATTTTATTTTTATTTTTTCGAAAATTTTCATAATTTTTAATTTTCTAATTTTAGGATTGTAAAATATTTTTCGTCGAACGAAATAATATAAATTTATTTAATAAACTTAAAATAGATTTTATGAATACATATTGCTATCCAAATCAAATCAAACTTCATCTACAACAAGGAATTCATCAATTATCATTCATACTTTTTATTAGACAAACTCATAATCGTATTTGTTTATTAAATATTGAAATGCCTCATTTAGATGTTATAAGTAGTGAACGAATTTTTAGGTAAATTTTTTGTTTGTTTATTGTTTATTTTCATTTTACATAAATTATATATAAATTATTTATAAAATAATTTATATATAATTATATATAAAAATCTTAATTTTTAAATCAATCTTATAAAAATTTTAAAAATATATTTAAAATATAAAATAGTTTAGCACCAACTATTACTGGCTTCGGTAGATTAAAATCACCGATTTTCTCAATGGCCAAAATCGAGACCTTGGAACGTTGGAAATGAAATAATTTATGCAGCCACAAATCTATTCGGCTATAATGCCCCATTAAAATATTTGCATTCAAAATGAATACAACTCCACTTTTAATGCAATCTCATGCAATCCCATAAAATAATATTAATTTACAGTTGGGTAAAAAAAAAAAGACAATTCGAAGAAATGGTACACAATAAAAATTTCAGTTATTCGTTATATTCATCGTTACCTTATGCTACATGTTCTCATCTCAAACATCAGTCATTTATATTGAATCCAAATTTATCATTTATGGATACCACATTTTCTGATATCGTATATTTCGTAAATGAAAAATCCGCTGGAAATATATGGGATGTGCAGCAATTTCAGGTTTTTTTACTCATTTGCAAATTTATAAATTTATATAAATTTAAATTTATTTTTAAAATTTGTAAATTTATTTATTGATTGCTATTTTCATGTTGAGTCGATATAATAAATTTGATAATGAGAAATGATATGATAAATTTGATAAGTTTGATAGATTTAGAAAAAAAAATACTTTAAACTTTTAATATTTAAAAAAATATATTGGTTTAAGAGACAACTGTAGTAACGATTTATTATTCTTGTTGGATAAATTTTCTTAATGTGAAATTTTTCTCTTTTTCGCAAATAATTACTAATATTTTGTAGATTATAAGCGATGGATATCTTAAACCAATGAATAAATTTTCAATTTATCATAATCGTACAAAAGGTTTGAATAATTTTTATTTTCATTCTTATAATTTTTTATTTTTATAATGAAAATAATTATTAATTATTATTTAATAATTTTATAATTATTTTTATAATTAACTAAAAATTATAAGTATTTTAAAAACTTATTTTCATGAAAATAAAAATTAAAAAAGTATTATGCATATATATTTATATATATGTATAAATATATATAAAAAATATATGAATATTTTTTAAAAAATGTTTTAAAAAGTAAGAGATTGAAATGCAACAATTTTTGATGAATTTTTGATGAAAAATTTAAAAAAATTGTCTTAGATGAACTGGAATATGATTTGAATTTTTTTTTACACTTTCTAAATACTTTACAACTTTCTTTTTTACTGAAAATGTTTATCGATGAGGAAAAATTCGATTTAAATAAAATTATTTTAAAATTATTTTTTTTCAACATAACTAACTGGTAAATCAAAGAAACTAGAAATTGTGTTAATTTTATAAGAATTTTTCATCGTATGTTTACTCATACTTAAAGAATGAAGTACTTTCTTAGTCTTCACATTCATGTTAAATCGATATGATAAAGTTGATAATGAGAAATGATATGATAAATTTGATAGATTTAGAAAAAAAATTATTTTTAGAAGAATCGCATCATTTTCTTCAAGCTAAACATTATATATTTCACTTGGATTTGAATAATTCATTACTCTATTCGATGAATCGACATGTTAAAAATCTTTTATCCGAATGTGCTTTCGATCTTTTATTCAGGCAAGTTTTAAAAGAAATTTCTGAATGAAATTTGAATATTCATTAATCAATTAGAAAATTTTATGAATCAAAGCATATTATTTTTTGTTAAAATTCAACCGAATAATTTTAATAGAAAGGATAATTTTTATCATTTTTATCATTATTATAAAAAGATAAGATGATAAGATTGATTGATATGCATTGAATTCTCGAAAATGACTATACTGATCTAATTTTTATCTCGATAATCGGAATTTGATTCAAATAAATGGATAACAAGTGATTAGCAAAAAATATCAATTAATTAATAGCTATTTTTAATTGATAAGCCATCATTGATTCATATATAAGATATTTTTGTGGGCATATTTTTATTATAAAAATGATTGATAAATTCGTATTTGCTATTCTAAAACATAAAAATCATAAAATTAAATCTAAAACAGAATCATAAATTTAGTGTAAATTTTCGTGAAACGAGTTTCATTTTTCGATATAGCAAACAAAAAAGAAGCAACGACGAAGATAATAATGAAAAAATAAAAATTACATAAAAAAATGGTTAATCGGTAAAAAAAAAGATGGCCTAAAACAATAATTTTCTATTCTCTGAGATTTTTTTATAAATTTTGAAACGGCGATTTATGAGGTTTCCTCCATTGAATAATAGTATAAGGGATTTTTACCAGTAAATCACTTGAACAGATGAGTTCCACAGCATTGTTTAAGATTTTTTCATGAGATTTTCATGTGGTTCATTTTTGCTAAAGACGGATACAAATCTTGGTACTCGCGACTTTTTTAATGAAATATTTAAATTTATAATAATTCTTTCCATTTTTCTTTCTTTTTTTTTAACGAAAAAAAAATTTGCAACCTTCACAAAGGAAAATCGATTTCAGTTTGAAAATAAATATTTATGGTAGAGAAAAGTTCGAATTCTAAGATTATGCATTATGAATAAAAAATTTATGATTTTAGGCTATGAAATGAAAGATAAGATAAGATTCATAAAAAATCAATCACTGATAAACCACAGCTGATATTGACTTAATCTAATTGTTTTTAGACCATCTGTGGCACATACCAATTTCATCGAATTTGATAAAGAAACAAAACGACAAATGACATTGGAATCATTTTCCGTCGATGACGACTTAATGCTTTATATAGAATCTAATCGAGTGGTTCGTTTATATTTTATAAAATTTTAATCGCTCGGTAATCCGAGATTTCTATTTTATGGAGATAAAATAGGTGGAAACTAACTGGTAATTTTTTACAAATGATTTAACTCCTTAGGAAAAATTAGATTTTTGAAAATTAAATTTTCCTATAGTGTAGTGTAACTAAGGAATAATGAAATTCTCACTTTATTCCAGTTTCATATGAATTAATTTAATAAATAAATTTGAAGAACGATTTATATTTTGCAAGTATTTATGGTGTGAATTTATCTGAAAGTAAGAGTACAACGCGATTATTCGATACAAATTTTGTAGCTAATATAAATGTTTTAAAAAAAAATACTATAAAAGAGTTATTGTTGAGGAAATTACCAAAATTTGGTGAGTTTTTTTTTAATCCTTTTATAATAATAAATATAAATAGTAAATATAAATAAATAATAAAATAAACGAAAAATTATAAATAATAGCAAAGAAACTAGAAACTATTACTACAAAGATTACAAATAAAAAAATATAGGATTCAAAATAAAATGCAAAAATAATAATTATAAATAAAATATTTAAAATTTTGAAGTTTTAAATAAATTAATTTCGAAAGCTCGAAAAAATTTGATTCATTTTCATTGCTACTAGTAAATAAGTAAAAATTTGAAAAAATTTTCAAAATTTGGTGTTTATTTATTTAAGAAATTCCATTTCATGAAAAATTTCTTTTCGTTTATAGAATAATTACAATAGATAATCATTGGAAAAATCTGGTAAATATTTATTTATTTATTTTTCTCTTGTAGATGAAGTAAGAATTCCGAAAAAATATTCGTTAAAAGGCGACAATACGTCTGCCGATGAAATAAATCCAGGAATTGTGCAATCTTCGTTGGTAAACACCACTTTAAATTATAATTCCAAAGGACAATTATTATCAATTGTGGATGAAATTGAAACAAAATTAATAAAACCAACAATAAAATCCAAGAATGATAAAAATTTTGTTGTTCAATCGAACAGTGATAAGGATAATGTTGACGATAATTCAGAAATATTTAACACTTATTCACTTCCTAAGAATATTAATCCAACAAATCCGATGGATTTAATGATTAAATCAAATATTTCTGGAAAAATTAAACAAAATATCGATGATATCGATGAGTATGTTTAAAATTTAAAATTTATTTTTATTTAATCATTAAATCATTTCTATTTATTTTACTATTTTTTCTTTTTTCAATATTTATCGTAGACATTTATTTTTAATTTATTTTTTAATTTATTTTTAATATTGAAAAAAATAGCGATAAATTATAAAAATTATTTAAAATCATTGTTCTGAATAATTGAATAATTAATTTATTATTAATTTATTATTAATCTATTATTATTTATTATTATCCATTTTATCTTATCAGTTGGTGAAAAATCATTTTTCAGAACTGATAATCATTTATTGTTACATCACGATAATAGTGAAATAGAAGAAGAAGAAGTGGAGAGAATGGGTAATCTCATAAATGACAAGACTAACGAGAAAGTAAGTGAAGAGCCATTTTGGAAAAGTATTGAAAGCAGTGAAATTATACCGTCCGAGGACGACGATGAAAGAAGAATTGATGATGGAAAAATTGTCTTTCATCTTCCACAACGTATTTTTGATAATAAAAATTATTCGAAAGAAATTGCTTCAATAAATTTGTCTAAACCAATAATAGTGAAAAATGAAAAAGCAAGTGTCGCGTCCAATGCATTTATTTCAATTTATTTCATGATAATGATAATTAGCTCAATTATTATTGATTATTGCGTGTAAATTTTCTTTGTATGAATTTGATAAAAATTTTAAAAAGTTATTAAAAATGATAATTTTATTATTAAAATATTATTATTAAAATTCTATTAATATTTTTTATTTAAAATAAAATTTTAAAATAATTTTAATAATTTTAATAATAAAATATTAATTCTTTTCAATGATTCTTATATCGAAATTTTGCTTCTTTATTGGTCGAAATTTCAAATAAAAAATTTATATTAAAAAAAAATTTTATATTTTATTTTATTATAAAAAAATACAAAAAGAATAAAAGAAAAAAAGAAAATTTCACCATTTTATACATTTAAATACATCAATTAAATTGTCTTTAGATTTAAAATTACACAAATTTGCAAAAGATTTAAATTAAAGATTTAAATAAATTAGATATGGTTTAAGGGTATAAATGAATCTCAATTAATCGATTTATTTATTATTTATAATTTTTATTTTACATTTATTAAATTGAAATTTAAATTAAATATTTCGAAAATCGAAAAAAAGTAAAATTTGAGTTAAAAAAGTTAATTAATAAAAATAATATTATAAAATTTCTTTCTTCTATAGAATAATGAAAAATTATTTGCGATAAAAAACAATATTTATAGTGAAAAATTAATTTATTTTTTATATTATTTTTTATGTTCTTTTTTGCATATTTCAATTTTTTGAATTTATTTATTTAAAAATCGTTTCATTCTTAAATTTTATCTAATTCGCTTTATATAAAAATTTCAATAATTCATTTGTAATATTTGTAATATTTTAATATATTTTTATTTAATTATTATTTAGAAATCTAAATTTCTAAATAAAAAAATTTTTCTAATTTTTTTTTTCGACATTTAATATTTTTTTGTAAAAAAAAATTTTTATCGCTAAAGAATATATAAAATAAAAGAATAAAAGTTTTTTTTTTTTGTTATTTGTATTCTCAGAAAGAAACTGTAAAGCTTGTTTTAGCGAAAAACTTGCTTCTCGTTACAATACTCAAATATTGCATTTTTAACATTCTTAAATATTTAATATGTAAGTTTTTTTTTTCTTTTTTAGAAAAAGTTGAAACGAGAAAGATGAGAGATAGCAAAAATGCAACGAACTACTTTTTTCTCAATTTTTTTTTTGAATTTTAAATGATTTTAAAAATATAATAAAGAAAAAAAATTTTTTTTTTTTTTGAATGAAATAAAATATAATTCTAATTGCTTAAAAAATTTTGCGACAATTTCTAATTTTTTATTCGCAAATGACATCCTTGCGAAACGAATCTGATGAATAGCACGAAGATCTAAGCGAAGCGATACGGTCGATCCACTTGTATTTCTATCTTCAAGTGACTCTCTCCAGCGAAACGAATCGCATGATCTGTAAGAAAATCCGAATGATACTGTCGTTTCGCTTATATTTTTATCTTCAAATGAACTCTCACCCAGAAGGAATCTCAGGAATCTTATAAGAAACGCGAGTGATACTATCGGATGCACTTATTTTCCAGTTTTCAACTGGCTCTCTACTAAAAGGAATGATTGATAAGAAAACTCGAGTGATACTACCGGTTTACTTGGCTCAATTGGCTCTCCACCGAATTGAATCTCACAATTTGCCAGAAAATCTATTAATATTAACTTTTAATATTACTCCAAATTGTATTAGAAGACCCAAAATCGAACCTAAACTACTTTTTTATCAGCAAAATACTATTATCACTCAACCTATTATCAAATGCCTCATAAATAAAATAAATAAATAAAACAGCCCGCATTTTTATAATATTTTTTTTTTCTTTCCACTTATCATTATGATAAATTCAAATAATAATTTAAATATCGTTGTGATAAAAATAAATTATGAAAAATTTTCTTAAAAACTATTAATTTTTACTATTTATTTTTTGTTTATACAACATTTTTTTTTTATTGTTTTATTAATTTCTCAGCGTCGTCTTCATTTTTCAATGTTGATTTTTTTACTTTTTGTTGAGAAAATAATCATTTATTTCCTATGATTAGAATCGGCGAATCAACTTAAATCATTAGTTAAACGTCTGTTAAAAGCAAACTTTCAACTTAAAATTTCACGTTTCCGTTTTACTTTTCACGTTCACGTTTAATTTTTACGTTAAATTTATTTAGTTCAAAATTAATGTATTTTTGTTAAAATTATTCAAAAATGATTTGCTAATATTTCTATTAAAATATGGTTAGAATTAAATTATAAATAATAAATAAGAATCGATGATTATTTATTTATTTTTCTGATTTTTTCAGTTCAATTTCTTTAAAATTAACATTTTATTAAAATATAATTATCATCAGTATAATAATTAAATTGTATTATTTTCGCTTTCTTTTTTTTTTCTTTTTTTTTTTACAAATAGGAAATAAACCTAAAGCTTTGCTTAATAAATAGTCTATGAATGGCGTAAACCAAAGCATGAAATTAATGATATTAATTATGCTAAATGTTAAGCTGTAACTTTTGAAATATGTCTGAAAATTGAAAAATAAGGTCTTAAAACTTTAAATTGCTTACTGTAATTTTTTTAGAATAGTACAATTGTGTGAAGATGTCGCTTATAGATGGGTTTGGTTGCGGTTGGTTGAATAGACAAAAGGAGTATGAGAAAAGGAAGTGGAAGGTGGTGTAATTTTTTTTGCCTTAGTTTTAGATGAACGGTACTTTCTTAGTGGTACTTTTTGATCGGACCTATTTTAGAATTTCGGTGATTTTTTTTTATAAAAAAACACTGATGAGAATTTCTCAAATAAAATTTATAAAGTTTAAAGTTTTATTTTCCTTAAAATAATTCCTAAAATTTTGGGAATATTCTAGAATTATCAGCGTTTTTTAATGATACGACGCAATTATCTTTAGTTTTCATTTTTTTTTTTTTTTTTTATGGTGTATTATTTTACCTATCATTGAGAAGATCAACAAATTGTTTTTTTTCTCTTATTTTTTACTTCCGATATTTCAAAAATTTCATAAATTTAAATAAAATTATCTCATTAAATAATGATATCTTCTATTGCCCTATATTTTTGGTCTTTTATCATTTAAAGTTTTTTTAGTATTTTGATGTATTTGTTTTATTTTAATAACCTCTGCTTATCACTAATTCACTCTAATAACACTTCATTTAATGGATAGGAATTGATTAAAAATCATATGAATATTTATTGGATTTAGCAATCAGAGTTAGATGTATGTAGTGGTATGGTATGGTGCCTCGAGAAGCGGAAGCGAGCAACATTTTGATTTTGATTATCTCTTTTAAAAAGTGAAACTCTGGTAGTGCTGGAGATCTGTCTATAGGTCCCCAGATACTTCTATGAAACAATGGTCTAATCCTAATAATTAGGTGGCAAATCGAAAATATTTTTTTTTAGAAAAAGATCGTTAAAATTAATGCATAATAATTAGGCTAGTTTAATATTAAATTAAATTATAATATAAGAAATGTGTATAAATTTTTTATTATTTTATTTTTAAATTTTTTATGTTTTACATCTACAGACATTTTATTAATTTTGCCATTAAGTTTGTGCTCTTTATTTTTTGTGAAACTTTTTTATAAAAAATCTGAAATTTTATACTTTGGTAATGATTATATTTTATACAATTTGTAAAATTTCAGGTTTACGAAAGGCTTAAATTTTGCGTTAAAGAAAAGTGCTTCCATGCAATTTTTTATAATAAGAGGCATATAAAATAGTTATACGTTTAGTGCTAATGACCGAGTATAAATTGGTTGTTGTTGGCGACGGTGGTGTTGGTAAATCAGCGTTAACTATTCAATTAATTCAAAATCACTTTGTTGAAGAATATGATCCAACAATTGAAGATTCATATCGCAAACAGGTAGTTTATTTATTGTTTTTTTGTAAACTATAAAATTTATTTAGTTTTTATTTGTGAATTTATTGGCTTAATTTTATTAATTAAGGTTTTAAATTATTTTGATCAATTGTTAGTGATTTAGAAAAGTTATCAATAGTAATCAAATTATATTTATATACAAATTATAAATTATAATTAAGTAAGATAAGTGTTTCATTAATATTTTGGAATTGTGAAAAAAAATTGCCTGACCAAGTTTGATATTTACGGTTTTTAATAAATTTTTTTTTGTTTTTTAAAATTAATTTTATAGGTTGTAATTGATGGTGAAACATGTTTATTGGATATATTAGATACAGCAGGGCAAGAAGAATATAGCGCGATGAGGGATCAATATATGAGAACGGGCGAAGGTTTTTTACTGGTATTCGCAGTAAATGAAGCAAAAAGTTTCGAAAACATTGCTCAATATCGTGAACAGATTCGGCGAGTTAAAGATAGTGATGAGGTTGTATAAAAATTTTGAAATTCGTAGAAACGTTTTTATTAGTTCAAAAAAATTTAAATTTTTTTTATATCGAAGTCCTAACAGGAATTCCCTGTTATGATAATTTCTAATTTAACAAATCTCAATCTCAAACAAATCTTAAAAATTAATGTTATTTTGGCATCAATTATCCGCATAAAGTATTGCAAGTGCATTGTTTGAATAATAAAACTTAAGGTACCTATGGTTCTCGTTGGAAATAAATGTGATTTAGCACAGCGTATTGTAGAATCTCGAGCTGTTGCTGAAGCTTCTCGTTCTTATGGAATTCCATTTGTAGAAACATCAGCAAAGACGCGAATGGGAGTTGATGATGCCTTTTATGCATTAGTTCGAGAAATTCGTAAGCACAAAGAAAAGCAAAGTGTGAAGCCACGGAAGAAGCGTAAATGTGTATTACTTTAATACTTTTTTTTTATGGTCATGATTTTTCTTGTTTGGTTTTATCTGTTTCTGAAGTTCCATTTTTGAGATATAAGTTTATGGCATAGTTTAATTATTGCTTGCATGCCACTGATCTGAAAATTTTGTGAAAAAAAAGCTAATCATTTAGCCGAATAAGGTTAACTAACTCATTCGCTCATATTTTTAGGTAATTTTTTAGAAATCAGTTATTAGTTAAAGAATACTTTTCACTGTTTGGTTTTTTGTTATTGTTTTCGCCTCTGAATTGTTAATTTTTTTCGGAAATTTAGGTATTTTTATCAGATTTGTCCAAAAAGTTAGGCGAATAGGAGAAAAAATTTTTCTTTTTATTCGCATCAGATTGCATTAAGATATACAGTGTTTCAATGTTTTTCATCCACGAAATTTTTTTTAATTAAATTATTTAGTTAATTCATTAAAATTCATTATGTATTTAATAATTTAAATAATTATAAATTTGCTTAATTCTATAGAACTGTGCTTATTTTATTATTTTTTTGCATTTTCACGATTAGAGAATTCATTCGCTTTTTTTTTAGGTATTTTGCTTTTTTTTTTAAAAAGTATTCTGTCAGTTCTGTTGAATTTTGTTTATCCTTAAATAATGGTTAACTTTATTTTTGGTGATATTGATTCACATTTTGATGAATGTTACTATTAAAGTTTTCAGTTGCTATTCCCATATATCTTCATATCACCTTTCATTTTTTTTCATTTATTTTGATTCGATTCCATTGTTTTTATTTTTTACGAATTATTACAAAAGATTTAATCCATTTATGGTAAATTTTAGGTAATTTTACAATTTTACAATTTCATTAAATTAGATTCTAATCATTTTCCAAAAAAATTTTTGTTTCAACAATTTCTATAGAAATGAAAGAAAAATTACATTTTGCTAACTTTCGTAAATAAAAAATAATTTCTGAGTATTTTTCGACTTTAGATGGCTTTTTTTTGCTCTTTTTAATCCATTATAAATTAATTCCATTTTTTCCATAAAAAAATTACATTTTTAATTTTTTTCTTATTTTTCTTACTGTTAATTGCCAATTTTATTGTTTTTATTTCGCTCTTTTTATTTCCATATATATATATATATATATATAACTTAAAGAAATGTGAGAGTTCAACGTTTTTTTTTCGATTAGAATTAGAAAAATATTCATAGAATATTGTAAAAATTTGTCTAAGATGTAAGAGTTAATCGCAAAAATATTAAAATAACAGTTTAAAAATGAAAATGCGTTTCAGATCGTTCGATTTTAAAAATTGAAAGAAGTTGGAAAAAAAAAGAGAGACGAGAAAAGATAAAATAAAATGAGAGTTGATTAAGGGGTAAAAATTTTTGAAATAAATTTTGAAAAGAAAGAAAAAAATAAATAATTTTCAAAGAATAATAAAAATATTAAAAATTAAGCATTTTTTTTCATATTTTAAAAAATTCAAATGGTTTAGAAGGGGAAAAAAAATTTAAAAAATAGCTTAGAAGAAAATTTTTCAAGAAAATTCCATATATATATATATATATATATATATATGTATTTAAAATTTTCTCTTTTATGCCTATATTAATTTTGTATGCAAATTGTTGAAAGAACGATATTAATGCTTTATTTTTTTTTTTTTAATTTTTGCTTATTTTCAGAAAATTTATTTTTTTTTTTTGAAAATTTTCCCTTTTCCGATAAAAAAAATGATGAAAAATCTTAGAAATGAATAAAATTTCGGTTGTGAGCGATTTTTTATTTTCACTTTTTTTAAATCGCCTTAGGAATTCTTTTTTTTTTCTTTTTTTGCTCGAATTTTTAGAAAATTTATAAATGCATAAAAAATAAAAAAATAAAAAACAAAAAAATCGCTTTCCTTCGATTTTATGCTTTGTATTTTTGTCATCATTTTTTTGATTGTAATTTCTATTATTGTTTTAGCATAAAATATTTGCTCACTTATTTCGCTCTTTTTTTTTTTAATGGTTCTTTTTAATGGTTTTTTTAGGCCAATTTTTTTTATATTTGATAGGTCAAAAGATATAAACTTGATTTGCCTCGAAAATTTCCTTAAAAAAAAATTCGTCGTTAGGCGAAATAAATTTTTTTGTGGTTTACAAAATGCGCTATTTTTAGCTTCGCTTAGAAATTCGATTCGTATTTTCTTAGAATAAAAAAAAAAAAATTATGATTAGAAATAAAATTTAATAAATTTGACTATTCAATTTATGAATTTCAAAATATTTGAAATGTTTTTGTGTTCGGCAAAGAATTTTCATTTTTAATAGTCAACGCAAATTCAAAATCTTTAAATCTATAATGCTAATTAATAATAAAAAAAAAAAATTGAATTTTGCGATGAAAGGAAAGAATTTTCATAAATTTCTAATTAACAATAAAATATAATATATTTAATAATTATTAACCAAAAAAAAAAAAATTCAAATAAAAATAAAAATTGGATAGTTTTTTTTAAATACAAAATAATATGAATAAACAGCAATTAGCATCGTCCTTAATTAATGTTATTTAGCTTTTCAGATGACTCGTAAAAGTCGAAAACGTCGAATATTTGATAATAATAATAATAATAATATTATTATTAATAATAATAATAATAACGAGATTCCTTCTTCTTCATCCGTTCAAAGAAGAATTTCGACGATAAAAAATGAAATGGATTATAATAAAATGGTAGGTTATTATTCAACGAGCGAGCATGAAAATATTTGTCATGAAATGGAGAATTCTCGCGATTCGTTCATGAAACATTTCGAGAGTAAATACGGTTTTGTGAAGGAGAAAAAACCACGAAACAGTGAAAAATTTAAGTCAATGAAAAATGAAAAAAAACGGTAATGAAAAATTTCATAATTTTTAATAAACTATTTTATTATTTTGTATGAAATGTAAAAAAAAAAAAAAAATTTTTTTTCGATTTTTTTTTTTCAATAATTTATGCATATAATAAACGAAAATTTTTTTTGCTTAAATTTTCATATTAATTTAAATAAATAAAAATTTAAGCAAATTTTATGCAACAAATTTTAATTTCTTTTAGAAATTTCAGCGAAAATACGCAATTTATGGATTCATTAAGCGAAAGCGTCGAACAATTATATCCGAGAGATATTGTGCAATATTTAGAAATAATTGCTTTCAGTCGAAATAATAATGAAAAGAGTGAATGTTAGATAATTTCGATAATTTGTTTTAATTTTTATTATTTTTCGATTTATTTTTTTATTTAAAATATCTACTGAAAGTAAAAAGCCTGGCATTTTCATCGAAAATCTCTATTTTGCATTAACCTCTGAATTTATCATTTATCAATTCGCCAATTATAAACATAGGTAGTATCACATCGCATTAATAGTAATAAAAATATTAATAGTAATAATAAATAACAAATAAACGATAAAATAATAGTAAACAGTGGAAGTAATAATAGTAATAATATTAATAAATAATATTATTAATAATGATATTAATAATATATTCAGCATTATCACTGGGAAATGTTCCATAAAATTTTGAAAGATATTGCAAATCACCAGGCTAACAATGAAAATATATAAATATATAAATAAAATTAAGAATCTTTATTTTAAAATATTTTATAGTTATATAACAATTTATTATATTAATATTTTTTCCTCACCACTATATAGGTGGTCATCATGGTTGGTCTCTACCAGAGGCCTGGGAGATTGGAGGTTAGGATTCTGTACCTTAGTTGTTGTGAGCTTTTCTAGATCTTTGTTGTTGATCCTGGAATCTCTAAAACTTAGAAACTTAGTTTAAAAGTTACAGTTCCAAGTATATATATATATATTTAATGGTGACTAAAATGTATGAAATACATGATGCAACATATTTATTACATATGTATTTTTTGATTTCATTTCATTTTAAAAATTTTTTATTAGTTGCTCTTACTTTTTAAATTCCTGAAGTCTAATTCTATTAATTTTTTATACTCATCGAATTATTTCAGTGAATGAAATACAAGAAAAATGCTTGGAAGAATGCAGTAATAATGAATTGCTTTTACTCAATTTTGATAATAGCAGTCGATTAGTTGAAGAGATATTCAAAGGATACAGACCAGCAGCTGTGCAATGGATGAAAGCTTTTATGAAAATAAAAAAGATTAAACAGTTACATTTATTGTACCAAGGTGCTGCATGTCGTACGCTTGAGACATTTCTTTATGCATTATCTCCTGATTATGATTCGGAAGTTTGTTTTAGTTTCCGCATATTATATTCTTTTCTTAAATGATTATTATCCTTAAAATACGCAATTTATAAGCATAATTTTATAGATAATCAATCATTTAATAGAACTTGTCACTGATAAGTGGAACGATCTTATTATTGATAAAAGCGCTAGCCGTTTTATAAGATCGCTAATGCGTTACACTGTTGGATTACCAAGATTTACTGATGTTGATACGAACAAACGAAAATGTGATAAAAAAGAGCATAAGAGGATTAAGAAGGTAGCAGATCGTAATAAATCTTTGGTTATGAAGCAGAGTTTCACTGAAATTGCGAAATTTGCCTTAGATTTTGTTTCAGTGAAAGGTTAGTTTTTATAAATTTTTATAAAAATTAGTTTATATATATATATATATATTCTTTTTCGATGGGAGATCATTGGGCTGCACCCTCTAGAAGCGCGCTTGTCTGCTTCATTTCAGTCTCTCTGGTCTAATAGAGAATCGGAGGCTGAAGCTTATCCATATCATCTAAAAAAGAATGAGAAGGGGTTTTTATATATATTTAATTTTAGTATTCTAATTTTAATTTTATTTATTATATTGCGTTAAATTTTAATACTAAATTTATTTGAATGAAACTGAAAATATTAAATATTTTATGTTTTTAAATATATAAATATTTTTCTCTAGTTATATATTTTTTTTAAATCAGTTTTATCATAATTTAGTAAAATTTTTTTTCTATTTAATAGATTTGAATTTTTGAATTTTTCAATGAATTTTTTAGTGCAAAATCTTTAGATAACATAAATAATGATGAAGTATCATTGATTGTGCAAGATGCCGTTGAATGTGATGCAATTGCTAAAACAGGTTTTGTTCTAAATTTCGCTATGAAAGGTTTGGAAAAGCCGAATGATACTCTTTTGCAGTTGAAAGGGAAATGTTCTTCTCGCGTTTGGCAGAAAATTTTTGATGTGGTTTATTTTTTTTTCTTATTTTTATTTGCAATGCTTATAAATTTAATTAAAATTTAAAATTTAAATTAAAATTTTTTACTATTTGTTATTTTATATTTTATATTAAATTTGGGCTAATAATGTTATGGGTGCGGAGAAATCAAATAATGCTAAAATTTTTATAGTTTTTCGATTGAACACAAATCGTATACATTTGATATATTTTAATCTTTATATTGTTTTTCATAATGGATACAAAATTATAGCAATGCCAGTTTTATTGAGGTTGATGAAGATATGCGGCAGTCGTTTTTTCATTCAGTTCTCGAAGGGCAGTTATGTGATTTGGCATGTCATAAGTTTGCGAATTATGTTATTCAAAATTTTATTTTATCAGCTTCTAGTGAGGAATTGGTTCGTTTACTTTTATTATTATTTTTCTATTATCATTATCTATTCTATTTTTATACTATTTGAGAAAAATAAACGTATTTTTTCGAGTAAATGAATAAATTATTTTTTAAATTATTATTCAATTATTTTTTCGAGCAAATGAATAAATTATTTTTTTAATTATTATTCGATTATTTTTTCGAGTAAATGAATAAAATTATGATTGTTAATTTAATTATTTTCTTTTTTAGATTGTTGATATTTTTGATGAATTATTGAAAGATATTTCGGTGATATTTGATAATGGGAAATGGTCAGTGATAAATGCCCTTGCTGTTGCGGCATGTAAATGCAATATATATCAAGAGGAGTTTTTGGAAAATATAAAATTATATTTTGGTTGTAATACAGAAGAAACGGCTAAATTTTTTGTTCCAAGAGTTATTACGCTACAAAATGATTTAATTATTGATGGTGCGAAAAAAAAGTTGCATTTTGCATGAAAAATTTAGTGCAATTTATTTACTTTTTTTTCAAAAAATTTTATTTTAGAAGTCGTGCAAAGTATTCGATTCAATACTTCTCTAAGTAATCGGCTTGGATCTGTCCTTTTACAAACTTTGTTAAATTTTGATTGTAATGCTATCATCATTCATTCATTGGTCTCGTTATCAAAAGATTGCTTTATGGAATTATGCAAAAATGCTCCTGGTGCATATTTCCTTGGATTATTTATTAGTTGCCGATCCGTCCCCAAAAAAAAGAAAGAAAAGATAGGATTAAAGTCAAAGGTGACATATGCCGCCATTTTTTTTTTTTAGATGATAATTGGTGATAACTGAATCTGTAAACTGTTGAAATTATCATTAAATCTGTTTTTAGGATAGTTTGATTGATATGATTTCTGACCGATGTGCAAGTCACGTTTTCGATGCATTTTGGGATAGCGGATTGTTGAAAATGGATCTTAAAGAAAAAATTATGAATTATCTGCGTTCAAATCCTAGAATGGTCGTATTTAATTTAATTTAATTTTAATTTTATTACGATACTAAAACGTAAAACATATACGAATGTAGATAATGAATTCATTTCATATTTATTTCAAGCTGCTATTGCTAAAATATTATTATATTATTATTATAATATTATAATTATAATAATTATTATAATATTATAATATTAATATTATATTATTAAATATTAAATATTATCTATAATTTATATTTTTTTATTATATTATATTTTTATATTTTTTTTTTTGCAGGTCAAATCAAAAACAGGTCACGCAATTATGGAAAAATTAAATTTGCGTGGATATAAAGAAAATCCTAAGAAGTGGCTTAAGCAAGAGGCTGCACGCATGAAAACCATTAAGCTCTAATATTAATTATTTTTTGTTATAATTATTTTGTTTATAGAATTCGCAATAAAATTCTGTTATCTGTTTTTTATGAAATAAAAGTATAAATCGCTCAAAAACATTTTGGAGCAAAGTGATAAGCAATAAAATTCGATTTGTATGAAAATATTATTCTAAATATGGCACCAAATATGGAAACTTTTAAATGGTATACATGATGAATTTAAATAATAATATTGTGAACTTGGTGAATTTAGAAAGTAATGTGGTGAACCTGGTGAATTTGGTGAATTTAGACGGTGATGTGGTTTTTTGCTATTATTTTACAGCAATAAAGAAAAAAGGAAAATGTCAGAAGATATTGTCACCGATCATAAAATTGTTTCATCTAATCAGATCGTATTTTAATATTTCACGTTGGCGATTATGGTTCATTTTTTTTTTTTTGTTTTTGGTCCATTTATGATTTTTTTTTTTTTTTTTAGCTCCATTTACAATATTAATAATTAATTTCATTTATAATTCAGCTATTTTTTAATTAAATGGTGATTAAAGGAAATAATGAATAAAAAAAAAAAGAAGACGAGAAACGCATTTTAGTTTTTATGCAATTCGAAAAAAAGGAAAAACGGATCGCGTTTAATGGATACCTTGTTAGGAATAATTTCGCGCATATTTTGCTGTATTGTCTTAAGTTATCGCGCAAATTCGAATAGTTCGATGAACGATAGTTGTAGCTATTTGTATATTTCCATGTGATTCTTCGGTGAAATTCCTGCAAATTGTGCAAAATGGCCCACGAAACGTGTTCCTCACGTAGGTGGAATGTATAAGTGTCACATACAATTTATGTTAATAGTCCAATTGCCTCAAAGTCTTAATTATTGTCCTTCTGAATGGTGTTTTTTTTTTTGATTTTATTTTTTTCAATTTTAAACTATCAAAAAGTTTTTTTTTTCAAAATTTCCAAATATAAAAAATTTAAGATAAAAATAAAATTAATCTGAACAAAAATAAATTAAAATTAAAAAATTTAAATTAAATAAATTTTACAAAATTTATAAAATTTTAATGAATTTTAATTTTATAAATTATTAAATTTTTATGATTATAAAATATATTTGTCTAGTTTTTTATTGAAAAAAACACATCGAACATATTTAAATGATTTATTCGAGAAAAAAAAAATTTTCCCGAAAAGTATATTTTCATATGAAATCTTTTTTTTAGTACCATTTTTATCAATTCAATTATAAATTACGAAGGATTTGCCAATCCATTATTTTGATTAGTGAAAAACTGGTAATCTCTTCTATCTTTCATATATTTTGCTACTTTTCTTTTTGAAAGATTTTTCAACGAGCATTCACCTATTACTGGTTAAACTTGTTCCGCTGGTTTATCGGGCTCGGCAAATATGCTCGGGAATTCTTTGGTGATGACAGATAAGTCGTCAGTATCAGTCATCACACGGATTTTCAACGGACAAATTTATTTCTGCTATTATCGAAATTTTTAATTAAAATCATCGTATTTTTTACGAAATTTTATCTATTTTATTTAATTTTTAAATTTTTATCTATTTTTTCTATTTTTTATTAAATTAAATCATTAAAATTAAAATGAAAATTAAAAATGAAAATTATTCAAAATTTATAATTTTTTAATTGAACTATCAAAAAGTAAATTTTAAATCTCTCAAATGAATAATAATAATAACAATAATAATTATTATTACTATTATTATCTAAATAAGAATTTAAAACGAAGAATTATTTGTTAAAGTTAAAAGCAGAAAACTAGTTTTTTGGATTATTTCTTCCTGAACCTTTTTAAATAAATACACATTTTGTTGTTGGATGGATTTACGAGCAAAAATTTCTCTCAACGAAATTTTATGTTTATACATTCTTTTTAACATCGATTTCTATAAAATTTTATGAAAACTTTTATTTTATTTATTTATATTTTAATAAAAATCATCTTTTTTTTTTTAAATTTATATTATTTGCATAAAATTTCGCTAAAAATTATAATTATAAAATAATTATAATTAAAAGTAATCGATATTTTTAATTTTTCTAAAAACTATATAAAAATAAATATTTAATATGAAAATATTTTTAAATATTTAATATTTTTTAGTAATTTTTTTCTATTGAATGCCATTAATATCAACAATAAACAATTGTTGTAAGAATGCATTTCGAGCTGTTCGTTTAAATCATATAGAATGCCTCATGAAAATGAATCAAAATGATTTGGAAGAAAGCGATAATTATGGACAACGACCATTACATATTGCTTGTAAACTTGGAAATCTACAATGCGTCGAGTTTTGTTTTTAGTTTCAATTGCAGTAAAATTAATATAATAATTCTATCAGTTCAGTGATAAGTTAAGTTTATCAGTAGTGACACTATTCATTATCAATTTGATAATTAGTTTGATCAGTTTAATATCATTCGATCATTTTCAATATCCCATAATATTTCGCTTATAAATTCATAAATTCGTTTTTCGTAAAATTATTCCAAAGAATATATTTTAAATATTATTAATATTAAAAACTTTTAATTTAAACCTAATTTTAATAATTTTAATTTTAACTTTTTTAAAAATTTTCATAAAATATATAAATATTTGCTTAAAATTTAAAATTTAGTTATATAATTCGAAAAGCACCAAATACAGCAGACTTGGTATCGCATTACGGTGAAAATCCTCTTTTGGTAGCGATTGCAATGGGTAAAGAAAAATGCGTTCAGCGATTATTACAAGGCAATTATAAAAAAGCACTAACGAGGGCACTTCATCGCGATTTGAATGGTACTTCATCGCTTATGGCTGCCGTTGCACGAAACGATAACGATTTGGCATTTTGGTTACTGAAAAGATTTGGAAAAACTCTTGCGATTTGTCCAAATAACTATAAAATGCTACCGTTACATTTGGCTGCATCGAGAGGTGAAATCTTTTTTGCATTATTTTTTTTTAATTTTATAAAAATTCGATAATTGAATTTTTTTTTTCATAAATAATAAAATCGTTTATCGATAGTGAAATTTAAAAATTTGTTTTTTTTTTCTACTAAAAATTATTTCAATTATTGTATCAATGAAATGAAATTAATTATCGAGTTTTTTAAAATATTTTTTTGAGTTTTTTTAATAATTTTTGAATTATTGATTGAATTATTGAAAAAATATCGATAAATTTTAATTTGAATTTTTTAAATTCAATTTTTTATTAAATTATAATTAAAAATTTAATATATTTTATATATAAAAATTAATAATTAATTTTTATAAAAATTATAAATTTAAATATAATTAAAAATTATAGAATAATTATAAAAATAATATTAAAAATAATATTAAAAATAATATAAAAATAATATAATAATTATATAATATATAATAAGATAATTAATAATTAATTGACATTCTAATATATTAAAATTAAAATTATTAAAATTAAAAGCAATATTTTAAGGTAATATCGAATTCATCCGTATTGTCACCAAATACGACAATCGAATGACAAATGAAAAAGATATTTTTGGTCGAAATTTTTATTGTTGCTCATTCTTCTAACATTCTTTAATAAGTCTCTCAGTTTTTGTTTAAAAAATTCCAATTCTTAAAATATTCTATTTTTTAAAAAAATACTGAAATTAAGCATAATTATAATAAATATAAATTAAATATAAATTTATAAATAATTTATAAAAATATTTAAAATTCCTCAATTTTTTTAAGAAATTAATTTCCAATATTTATTATTTATATTTATTATATTTATTAAAAATATATTTTCTAATAAATTTACTTAGAGAATTGTTTGAATCAAAAAGTTCCAAATTTATTTTCATATTAATTAAAAAGAAAAAAAAAACATTTTACTTTAGGCTTAACACCTGTTTTTTATGCGACGCAAGGTGGACATCTTGAATGCTTGCAATATCTCGTTGAAAAATGTCGTGCAGATATATCGTTAGTGACACAGAAAGGACAATCACTACTACAAATAGCATGTCTTGGCGGTCATTTGAATATAGTTCAGTGGTTACTTCGTCGTTCTTCGCCAACAGCAGTCTTATGGACGACTAAGGACAACGTCAATTCTCTACACTGTGCCGCATGTAAATAAATATTTAGCTTAGGAAGAAATTAGAATTATGGAAAAAAATTATTCAAAATTTTAATAATTTTAGTCTTTTTAAAAATTTTCTATCTTTTAAAAAATGCAAATATATTAAATATAAACATAAATATAATATAAATTAAATATAAATACGAATTTGTAATTATTATAAAAATATTTAAAATTTCCCTATTTCCTTCAAGTTGGTGATAAAATCTTGCAGATTCTTTTTCGTTCTTTTCCTTCCCCTTCTCGCTTTTTTTCACAAATCCTTTCAGATTTTAGTATAACAATAATTATCTGACGTTATCTGTCTTGAATCTTACAATCTTCTGGACTTTTTTCCATAATTCCACGATTTATTTCCATAGGAATAAATGGTGATCATTGTTCATTTCACCATAAGCATAGCAAAAAAAAAAAATTAATATATATATTTATATTAAATTAAATTAATATATATTATAATAAATTATATTAAAAAATTTTTAATATTAATTTTTAATTTTTTTAATTTAATATAAATATATATATTAATTTTTAATTTATATATATATAAAATAAATTAATATATTATAAATTAATAAAATTAATATAAGTGTATATATAATTAATATATATTATAATTAATATATATTATAATATATTATATTAAAAATTAATATACAAATTAATATATATATAAAGTATAAATTATATATATATATATATATATATGAATATTAAATAATTTAATAAATGAAATTTAGCGATTTATAATGGCCTAAAATTTTCATTTTTTTGAATTAAGATCAAGGAAATGTAGAAATTCTAAAATTATTGCTAAATAATTTTCCAAAACGAAATCGTCGCGAAGCTTTGCATATTCGAGATTTTTATGGTAATACGCCTCTTCATCTTTCGGCTCTCAAGAATAACATCGAAGCAGTACAATATCTTGTAAGTCTCCTCGTCTCATAACATTGCATTTATTTATTTGAAGCAACCAAGCATGGTGACAACCGAGGTGACAAACGTCATATGCTTTTGTATTAATAACAACAAAATAAGGTCAACGAGAAGAAATAATACGAAAGGACCGAAAACTAGCAGTATAAGGGGAAATAATATAATAAAGGGGAATTGAAGAATAACTCAAGTCGAATTGAATTTACTACTGACAGACACTATGCATTCTCAAATGAATAATGATCATGATTTTAAACTATCTATGAACTTTTGAAATAATATCAGTGATGAATTATTGGAAAAAGGAATGGCTTCCATTACTGTCGACGACAGCATCATACTGCACCGCTTGGAAGCGTCTTATCCGTGTAGCCGTTGGAACCAGCCTAACCAGTAATGGTGAGAGCTGTTAGAAGAAGAAGGAAGAAGATGAATTATTAGTGAATTAATCTATTTTTAAAAATAGTTTAAGGATAATGCAACAAACTCCGTCATTCGGTAGCTTATTCCAGTAATTAATGGTGTGAATAAAAAATCCATGCGCGATTAATTTAGTTTTGCATTTAGGTTTTTTTGGATCCTGTTGGATCCAAAATTTAAACTAAAATTATAGTATTTTGAGCAATCTAATTTGATATAACCATATAGAATTTTATTTTTAGTTTTTTTAAGAGTTTTCACCATAATTTAAACTCGCTGCGCTGGCTTGTCGCATTGGACAAATATGCCAGAGAGATCCCATGACGATAGAAATATAGGTGAGTTGCCAACATCACCTGGATTTTGGACAGGTTTATTCCTGAGAGGAATAGAACTTTAATATCGGCGCTCCGAATTCAGCAACAACCCACTACGCCATCTTATCCTCCTATATAGAATTTAGAATCCTATATAGGATTTTATAAAAATATATAAATTAAATCTTGCTTAATTCGACAAACTGTACGAGTGTGAGTTGAGTTTATGTTATATAGCTGAAGTTCTATTTTCTTTATATAACTGAAAATGCTGTTGGCTATGAGAGGCGATGTACTTTTTGGTATATTTTCATTAATTTACTTGATTTTCGACATTTATAATAATAAATAATAAATAAATAATAGAATAAAAGATTTCATTATATTGAAGAAGAGGCCGAACGAACGCTTCGTATATTTTGTACATTTGTTTTTTAAACAATCAAAAAATAAAATTTAATTAATAAAAATAAAATTTAATAAAATTGTTAAAGACCTATAATCTATAAACAATTATATAAGTTATCAAATGTTGGCAAAAAAATTTTTAACAATTAAAACCGATTCGAATAAAATCGAATTTAAAAAAAAAAAATATTCACCAATAAATAAAAATTTTTGAGCTAAACAATGGTGCACATCCGAAATTAATAAATGCAGAAGGACAAACCGCTGAAAATATCGCTCAAATCGTTGGAAATTTTCAAATTTCACGATTATTACAAAAATGGATAGGTAAATCGGCAAAAAAAAAAAAATCTTTTTTTTTTTAATCTTTAAATCATTATAAATATTTAATATTAATATTAAATATTAAATATCATTATTTAATCCTATAAAAAATATGAAAAAGAATAAAAAATTTTTATTGAATGAAAAATTTTATAATTTTATGAATAATGTTAATTGAATAATTTTTAGTTCCAAAAGATAAAAAAATGAAAAAATTCGAATCAAATAAGAATAATTCCTATACGAATATGATAACCGATTATTCGTCTGGCTACAGCAGTATCGGAAGTAATTTAGCAGCTCAGTCAACAACAACGGTTAAAGGTACCTCGGAGCGATACTGTTCGTCACTCGACAACTATTCAAATAGCGAGTAAGAAATGAATAAGAATTTACCTCGAATAGATCTCTTTTTAAATTTTTTTAAACCTATTTAGCTTTCTTTTTTTTTAAAGTTCTCACCATTACGGGGTTAAATTCTGGCTTCAATGGCTTGTCGTACTGAACAAATATGCTAGCGAGTCTCTTGGCGATAGAGGCAATACAGATACAGAGGCGATACAGATGAGTCGCATTTTTTGACATGTTTACTCCTGCGGGGAAAAGAACCTCAGCATCGGCGCTCCAAATTGAATAACAACCCACTCAGTCATTCCATCTCCAAAATCCATCTCCGCCTGTTCTCTTTTCTAGAAAATAATATTTATAGAAAATTTACCTTAAAAACCTTTCGAATCTTGGCATTTACGCTCGGCAGACCACTACTATTCGTCCTCTAATATTCTCTCCCTTTAATTCCCTCTTTACGCTTCCGTAATATACCTAAATAATATCGGTATTAAAGAATATGAAAAAATTTCAACAGGACGCACCAAGATAGTTCTTTTTTTGCGACTGATAACACTGATATCTGATAAAACATATTGATTAATTATCACATTGATTACCAAAAAGCCATATTTGAAATATATTATATTTTATATAATGAATTATTAGAAATGAAATGAAGGTGCATCGTCTTGGTTACATTGCTACCGATGAAGGAGGTCGTCTATATTTTGATAGCGAATGTCAGACTGATCACGATCCACTTACCACAAGTGTTAAGGTTTGCTATAATATTTCTAATACGATTTATCTATTTTCAACTAAAATTGTCGTGTTTAATTTTTTAATTATTTTTCTTTTTCAACATTTCCTTAAAATATTTTTTAATATTCGATTTATTTTTTTAAAAAAAAATTCTTTATGATTTATCAGCTTAACAGTTGCTACTTTATCATATCATTTGGTCATATGATAAAACAAAATTTGAAATTGATATTTAAAATTTATTGAATTATTTTTACTATTATTTTTTCACTTGTATTAAATTGTTATTTTTTATATATTTGTAAAAAATAAATTTCATCTATTTTATAAAAAAAAATCCACTGATTACTAAAATATTATTAACTGAAATTATAAAATTTTTCAAACATTTAAACCGATATTCTAAATGTTATTTTTCGTAATAAAGTTTTTTAATAATAATAAAGGTTCTAATTTTTGCGAGAAATTTCTTAATTTTATTCGAATAATATTTAAAAAATCTTTTAAATATGAAATAAAAAATAAAAATTAGAGAAATATATTTAGATGATAAGCGAATGGAAAGAAAATTTAGATGCCGTTGAACAAATTGATCGCGTACTTCGAGAAATTGATCATCGATAATTCAACAAATATATATCACTTATCAGTTATCAGTTATCAGTCATTTGAAAATTTTTTATTCATATACTGCCATTTCTATTTATCAAATAGAAAATATAATTAGTATGTATGAATTCAGCGATACCAATCATTTCTTCTAAATAATCGTTATAGAATATTGTGGAAAATCAAAAATTTTTTGTTTCTTCGATTATTTAAATTTTATCAAAATTTTATCAAAATTTAAGTGATAAAAAAAGAAAGAAATTTTAAACGGCAATTATATATTCGCTCGTTTCTTTATGGCATTTCCTTTGAAAATATTAGAAAATTTCTTTTAAAAATTTCCGCTGAACTTCTCGAACTTAAATTTTTCTAAATAAATTAGCGTGTCGTCTTATCATTCTATCTATTGTTTTTCATTGCCAAAATATTAAAATATATTAAAAATAATATATTAAATATATAAAATATATTAAAAATATTAATATTAAATATAATATTGCATTTACAATAATATTAAATATAATATTGCATTTACAAATACAATATTGCATTTTCTTTTCTAATAAAAGACAAATAAAGATTTATGAATTATGGCAAATATAGCAAAAATTTTTCACGGTTCTAAAATTGTCGTTCCCCCTACGGTGATAAGATAAAAAATAGAAATTAAGGAATATGCAAACCTTCTCCTAGTTTACGAAAATCTTTTATTCGTTATATTCGTTCTTTATTCGTTATATTTGTTATATATATTCGTGAATAAAAAAAAATTTTAATTTTTGAAAATAAATTTAAAAAAAAAATTAAAACTAAAAAAAAATTTAAAAAAAATAATAAAAATATTCAAAAATAAGATTTTTGTGATTTTTGTATTTTATTTAAAATTGAAAAAATTTCATTATTTGACGACAAAAAAAGAAAAATAAAATAAGCTACAAATAATAATAATCAACATTCTGAATTTTATAGAAAAATAGGAAATTTTGTGGTAGAAGCCGCCAAGTTTGATTTTGCAGCTTCAGACTTCGTAATGGTTTTATGTTTTTTTTTTTTTTTTGTTATTTATTGTTGAAAAACATATAGTCGAGGCGCGTATATTTGTCGTTCTTAGATTTAATTTTAGAAAGTAATCTAGAAAAAAAGAATTTATGGAATTTTATCAGTGAACTGAGTCGATAATGGCTTTAATAGAAATTAAATTCTATCAAATTCTATTAAATTTGTTTTGATTTGATTGAATGATATTCCATAGCTAATTTTCTGATATGATATGATATTTTCCATCTCCAAATTCATCTTTTCATTAAACATTATCATTTTATTATTTCAAACATAGACTTCCATTATAGCCCGTCCGAATGAAATTAATAAAAGATAGGAGATTCTCATTATTCATTTTGATTCTCATTATTTTATTTTATTAGCGTTCATACGCTAACACTGAATGGAATGGCCAGGCAAAAGATGAAATTACAACTCGGATAACGGTGCGCTAGAAATGCACCGTTCATTCGCTTGACGAAACCTTTATCGAGTCGTCGTGAAATCATCATAGAAACGAAAGTCCGCGTCCATCTAGCTGCGATTCGCTCGATCTTACTATATGGCTGCATGAGATATTCCCATTGAACGGGATAAAATGGCTCAGTGGGTTGTTGCTTAATTGGGAATGCCGATGCTGAGGTTCGATTCCCCGCAGGAATAAACCTGTACAAAAATCCGGGTTATGCTGGCGATTCATTTATATCTCTATCGCCAAGGGATATTGCCCAATGCAACAGGCCAGTGGAGCGAATTTAACCAGTAATGGTGAGGACTTGAAAAAAAAAATTGAGAGTGAAAAATATTAAAAGACCTATTTGCCTTTGACTACTCATATCTTTATTTACTGGTTCATTCATTTGATTCATTTCACTGGTTCTCGGAGCAGATAAAATGATCGCATCCACCGTTGTCCACTTGTACTATAATATAACACTATAATATAGAGCGGTATCATCATGGAGAGATGCCTTCGCTGGTTAGGACATGTTCTTCATCGCCTATCATAAGAGTTGACACATTTTTCGTTACTTGCCAAGCTGTGTGATGGTAATGTCAATATGGACCAATCAAGACCTGGACTGATACGATCAGAAAAGATTTTGAATATATAGGTGGACCAGCAATATATGGACTTAGACGATGAAAAAAGGAATAGTTTCTTTTTACTGTCAACGATAGCATCAGAACGCACCGCTTAGAAACGTCTTACCATTGTAGCCACTGAGCCAGCCTAACCAGCAAAGGTGCGAGCCTATTAGAAGAATATGAATATGAAAAAGAAAATAATTTATCTTAATTGAATGAGTACGTTTTTGTTCCAGGAACTAACCAAAAATAAAAAAAGGGGACATATTTAACATATTTTTCGCAAAAAAAATTTTTTTTTTGTATATTTATTAATTTAATCTATTAACAATAATAATAATATTTATTAATATTTTTTGATTTATAAGGGGAAATTTGCTTTAATTTTTTTTTGCAGAATTAATAAGGAAAATGCGCAATGTTTTTTCCAATTTTGAAAGGCGTTTATCATTTATAAATTTGGAAAAACGTTTCATATCAATAAATCAGCGAAAATTTTCATCAAAATCATCAAATATAAAAGAAAAAGAAGAATTAAATCGAAATAATTTAAAATTATCAATGTTAAAAGTTCATAACGCAATTGATATCGCACGTCAAATGAATATTCCAGTTGAAAAATATTCGTTAAGTCGTGGACTTGCATTAAATCGATTTGAAAAGGTTTATTTAAAAAATATTTTACTTTAAAAAATTTACTAAGCCATCGCAATTTGATTCTATTTTTACCGCAACAATAACAACAAAAATCGTTTATATGCAAATAGGAAAATTATTAAAGGGAGCAAATTATTTTTATAAGTAATTATCAAGTTGGATAAATAATTTTATTCAATTATTTTATAATTATTTCATAAATAATTAATTTATCGTTGATTTAATGATTCATATTTGTTATTTTTATACTTGTAGGATTTTTTGATTTATCCAGAATACGAAGATTCAAAAAATGTTCACAGTATTATTTCATATGCTTCAATTCTAAAAAAAGATCTGGAAAGCACATGTTGGTTTTTTTGTAAATTTTAAAAAATATAGAATTTTAATAAATAAAAATTATTATTATATTCTGTATTTAGTAAATTATTATATTTAGTAAATTATTATTATCTGTATTTAGTAAATATCAATATTATAAATAATGATAGGCGAATTAGTGAAAAGCAAGTGGAAGAATGCTCACCTTTTTTGATTGAACTCGTTTTTAGCCGGTTTATACGGCTGAAGTAGGAGATTTTTTGGCGATAGAAGTATTACTCTAGTTCACTTTTATTGGGAATCAGCATTGGCGCTCCAAAATGAGCATTATAATCGACTTAGATATTCTACCGCTGAAGATTTATATAATTTATTTATTGATTTATATAATTTATATAATTTATTACAGTGGCAACATCTCATTTGTCTGATAAAACATTGTCGGATTCAATTATAGAAGTATTAAAAAGACACCAAGTACCATCGCTTTTCATACACAATGATTACAGTTAGTTTGGATTTTGGATTTTCGTTTATGAAATATTTGAAATATTTTTATTTTTTGCAAATTATTCACATGAACTTGTGAAATGAATGTTTTTGCAGGTGGCGCTGGTATGTGTAATAAAGATTTGTTATATATTAATGAAATCTTTGGTATGGATCCAAACATATACACAATAGCATCTCAGTGGCAAATTGCGGCAAATTTATTGACAATTTATGGTAGCGATAAGCAAAAAAAACGTTTTTTGCCTGGGCTTGCTTCAGGAGAATTCCATCCTGCAATTTGTTTACTGGAAAAGGATAGGTGAGCAATTTCTATGGGAAATTAATGAATGAATGAACATTATTTAAAATTTTATTTTCTGTCTCTTTAATTAGAGTAAGTTTTCTATTTTCTTAATTAGAGCATAATGATTTAGATTGTCGTGTTGGGAAAAAGAAGAATTCTCTAGAGAAATGCCTTCGAAAAAATTAAAATCTGCCATTGAAAAGTCTGGGTACTGCTAGCGACCCTCTTGTATTTTTGTACTAATAACCAGAGGAGCAAGTCTAGAAGAAACAATAAATGCTAACCTCTTACTTATATTTGAATTACAGAGGACTTGATTTTAACGCAATGCTGACCGAAGCCGTCGATAATAGTGATGATACTGAAAAAATAAGCGGTGAAAAAATTTGTGTTATTGGTGCGTCTCATGCTAATCTTTTTTTCGTTTTTGCTAAAAGCAAAAAGTACTCCGAGGTATTTTTGTTTTTATTTTTCATGTGAATTGTTTTTTATTGCAAAAAAATTATGAATTAATGGCATATGTTTTAAGTTTTTTTATTTTAATGCAATTTTTTAAATGGATCATTCAGGAAAATCCGTGTCTCGTGTGTTACGTTATACAAAAAGATGTTGAATTAAAAAATTTGCTTCGAACAACTCATCAGTCAAAAATGCTTGGTCTTAATGGTGTCGATGGTATTTTAATTGCTTATTGATCATTTATCATTTTTTTATTCCGCAGAAAACCTGTCCAAAAAACCGGGTAATGCTGGCGACTCACTTGTACTTCTATCGCTAAGAGACTCCCTGGTTTATTAATCTAGTGCGATGAACCAGCGGAGCGAGTCTAATGGTGAGGGCTCTTCAAAAAAGAAATCATCTTCACAAACTCTTGATGTTATGTTTTTTATAGATTTGTCCAATTTAAAATATTCAATCAATTCTTTTTTGTTTTATTTTGATCTTTATAGTTTGCACAATAAAATTTGATGATATTCGAGTGAGTTCTGAAAATGTTCTTGGCTTACGAAAGGAAGGACGAGATATCGCTTTAGAAGTTGCGGTTACCAATAAAATATTTTACGGTTCATTCGTCGTTGGTTTTATGAAATTACTTCTGGGTAAGAGAAAATAATTCTATTTGATCTCATAACTCATTAATATTAAAATTTTAACTATAATCGAAATTTTTTATTTTGTATTTTTTTGATTTTTTTTTTATCCGTTCTTCTTACCTATAATTTTTCAGTAATTCATTTTCTAATAATTTATTTATTTATCCTATTTCTCTAAAATGAAACAGCTTATATTTATAGAACGAGTGGTTCACATCTGTAATAATGTTGTTGTGCAATATGCTAGACTTGCGGAAAGCCAGGCAACTCAAGTACCTTTTTCAATCATGATACTATTTTTTCAAAATTTTTATAAGGTTAAGTAAGTTTAATAAAATTCGTAAATTTTCATTATTATTATTCATTCATTATTAAATATGCTATTATACTAGTGTAATATTTATTTTTTTCAATTATTACAAGAAACTAGTGACGGAACTTGCCTTGAATACTTATATCTTGGAATCAATTACTTACTACATTGGAGGAATGCTTGATGAAAATCTTGTAATCGCTACCGATATCGAACGTGCTATTATTCACGTATGTTTATTAATATATTCGCTTTGAATTTAGTTTTTTTTATTTATAAAACCATAAAGAAATTTTAATACGGATAGAAAAAGCTTTTTTAGGAATTTTCTAATAAATTACTTCGACAAGCGGTCACTAATACAACGCAAATAATTGGATTGAAAGCTTGTGATTCTCAATTTGAATTCGAGAAAATGATAAGAGATATAATAACAGTTATGTCTTTGAATAACACTGAAATGAATTTAATTGACCAAATTTCGATGCGAACGTTAACTTCCTGGGCAAACTGCAATTCTACGATGTTATCGTAAGTACCGTTCTTTTCTAAGAAAAAATTGATTTTCGAGTGATTTTTTAATATAGTTGAATACACTGAGATTTATTGAATTAAAATTTTAATGCTTGACTATAATTATAATTCTTCATAATTATAATTCTTAACTATAATTCATTAATGTCATTAACGATAGGAATTGGCGAAGCGGAATTACAAGCGTATTTAGCCGTATGATTTCTAAAGAAACAAGCTTTTCCAAGTTTGAAGATCCAAAAATGATTCATTTCATGGCAGAACATGTTCATCCTTCTCTAGAAGTAAAATTTACCTCTTTCATTTATTTTTACGAATTATTTTAATTTTCCATTTAATTTTTATTGCCATAAATGTAATTTAATAATTAATTTAGAAATTTCTTGGTGGTGTATTTACTCACTTCTTTTCAGCCTGCTTGTCGTGATCTTGAGAAGTCAATGTCCAGACTCGATATAGCCTTGGAAAGGATTATTGCCGATCACGGGAAAGACGTTCAATCTGATTTTTCTCTGCTTGACGGTATTTCACAAGTAATAGAGAATAATCTAGCTATGATTTCGACGATATCGCGTTCAAGTCGATCTTATTCTATTGGTCTTCGAAACTCAGACCTAGAAGTTAGTCGTTTCTGGTATATTCGATTATATTTTTTTTTGCTGAATATGTTTAACTTTCTTTAATTTTTTCGTTAATTTTTATTTTTTTTAATTTTAGCTCCAATGGACATTGTTACTATGTAAAAAACGATCTCAGGAAACTTATAGGATACTTAACGATCTTATGCGATGTAAGTGATTTAATTTATTTCATGGCTTATCCTGTTTTGCTCAAATATTTTACGACATTAAGGTCATTAAAATGTTATAATTCTTTCAGATTTCGATTTCGTAAAATTATATCCATCATTGTTACAAGTTGGTAATTCTGTTTTGGAATCTTGTGGTTATCCTATTGAGAATCCAATTACGAAAAACTGGTGAAAATATTAATTAGCGATAGATAAAATTATTGTACAAATATTTACTAAACATGAACAATTATGGAAATAATAAAATTATTACGAAAAGAATTATTTTCAAGTCTCAAATATCGAACAATTTTCACTGAATATGTAAAACCTTTGAAATATTTTGTAGCAAAATCAATACTTTCCATTATGCAATGAAGAATTTCAATTTGGCACTTGTAAAATTTTGCGAGCGAAAGATTTCCAAAAAAAAAATTGACTGTAATAACTGCCATAAGTGATTACCAATACAGCTGAAAGTTCAAAATATTAGTGCTATAAAAATTCTACTAATTATTATTATTATTAAATATTAAATTTTTACTATAAAATAAAATTTTCTAATTTAATTTCAGGAAAGAAATTTTTTTTTTTTAAATCAATTAATCAAGGAATAATGAGAAAAATGATGAGATAAATAAGCCAAATATGCATACTTTAGTATTTGTGATAATTGGTTCAGATCTAACACGTGCTCGTAAAAAATTGCTTGATGAAACACTATGAATCCATTCATTTTGCGCTGGACTTAGTGAATTATTTTTCTCATCAATTAGACGAGTCCAAATATCGTTGATTTTTTTATCCAAACGAGATTTTGCTTCTTTTAGTTTCCATATAAATGTCTATAAACTATCAATCATACCATATCGATTAATCATATCAATCAAAAGGAACAAAGATTATAAAGATTTATAAAGATTTTATATTCATATTTTATTTTAATTTTTTTGTTTTTTGTAAAAAATATTTTTTCACATGAAATTAAGTTGATTTAACGAAGAATTTTTATTTACTTGTTGATAATGAAGACTTTTAAAACTAAGAAATTTCAAAGAATCTTCGTTTTGAGCATTCTCTATCCACATTATTGTTCGTTCTCGTTCACCGACCAATCGTTTCAAATCCATGAACATTCGAGAAAACATCATCTTTTTTAGAACATGCGAATCGCTGAAGAATTTATAATTTAATAGATATGTTTATATTTATTTTATCATATTTCAACATAAAAAAAGAAAAGTAAAAATTGATACTTTGGTTTTTTTTCAGTGAATGAGATTCTTTTTGGAAATACACGATTAATATCATCTGCGGAACGGTTCGGATTTTTTCTATCCTTGAATAAGACTGATTTTTGCTTATAAATCTGAAAAATAAATAATACACATTGCATATAAAAATTTCAGCTTTACCAATAGAAGAGAATTTTAAACTTTAAATTTAAAAATTCATTCAAAAATTCATAAAAAAAGAAAAATTCATGAATGGCAAAAAAAAATTTCTAAATATTTCAATGTACTTTAAAACACCGCAGCTAAACCTTACATAAATTACAGAAAGACTTTTAGAATTGGAAACATATATAGCCATAGACTGTTGGTCAGGAATAATATTTGGAAACAACTAAGAAATTGCGCGGAACCATCAATCTCCAGGTCTCTGGTGGAAAACCCGAGGTTGAGGGGGCTAATATGACCACCCATAGGGGACAAGAAAAGTAGATTGTATTAAATATATATATATATATATATTGGAAATTAACATAAAAAATAAAAAAAAAAAGATGAAAATACATTATCTGTTTGCGAAAAACTATCTCGTAATTGCCTTTGTTCATTTTTCACAGAACTGACACTGCTCTTCGGTAAAATTTCGAAAATTGAGTCTTTGGAAATAGGTTGAGACGAAGATTTCTCAAATTTGAGTTTTGAATTTTCGTCATCATTATTATAAATCCTTTAAAAAAATATTTATTTATATTATCAGTTTTATATTTTTATATCAACCAAAAATTTCTTTGCTGATAAAATAGCATTAAAAATATTAGAGAATTCCAAATGAAATGGAATCGCTAAGCAAAATGGTAAGAAAAATGTTCAAAATAAGAGTCAACGCATATCAAAGTCATAAATTTTTTATAATTTCTCCACAATTTCTCGGATGCAAGAAAAATTTAGGAGGCTCGAATGTATAGCCTAAGGCAAATTAATAAATGTGATATAAATGAAGGAACTTAGAGGTCGTCGCAAAAAAAAATTAGTTGAATTTCATCAACAAGTTTAGCATTAAAAGACAAATTAAACCCTCACGATAATAGCTAATCTTTATAATTCGAATAACTGAAACAAAATCCTCCTTTAGAGCTATACAAAACCTGGTTTTTAACGTTTAAAAACGCAACAGAAATTAAGATGGATTGGACAGAAAACATATATCACGACAGATTATTATCATTATTATTATAAATATTAGACTATTATCCTAGGAAAATTAAAAAACGCTAGGAACTCCAATGAGATAAAAAATGATTTTGCGGATAAAAAATAACGGAAAACATTGATAATGAAAAGCAGCAATTTCTTGATTACCTAAATTACCGCAAAATCAGAATAGTGCAACGGAAAAACCGAATTTTATTCCGATTTTTACGAGAGAATTTCTCATTTTCAATGAATTACCCTTTAATAGCCTCAATAGCTTGACTACAGTTGAATGATGAAGTGTTACCAGCGAAATCGATATACGATTCTAATAATTGTTCATCAATTTGCAAATTACCATCTCGATTCGAATCTAAAAATATAAAAAATATCAAATATATATATATAATAAATATATGTATAAATATAATAAAGAAATAAAAAATATAATTAAATATATATATATTTAATATAATATAATAAAGAAAAAATATAATTTTTTTTTTAAAAGATAAATGAAAATTAAAATATTTAAAAGCATAGAAAAAACTGGCACTCGTAAAACTGAAAACAATAGAAATAAAAAAAAAAAAGAAAACTAAACGAAAACGATTTAGTAATTATTTAAAATGATTTTGAAAATTTTTAATTTTAATTTTAAAACAAACTTGATTCACTCGGTTTATCAATATTTTCAAGATTAATACTGCATGGATTGCCATCGATTATCGTTATTTGTAATATTTCGTCTCTCGAATTATCGCCTTCGGTTTTCATTAAAATATCATATAAATTATCAATCGCTGAACGATCTAAACAAAATATCAAATTGTTTTAGTGCAATTTATTAATAAAAAGAAAAATAAAGGCTATAAAAATAAAAAGAAAAATAAAAATAAAAAATAAAATAAAAAATAAAGTGAAAAATAAAAATGAAAAAAAAAATGAAGTAAAAAATAAAATAAAAAAATAAAAATAAAATAAAAATAAAGAAAAAAATAAAGAGAAAAGAAGAAAGCGAATACCTGGGAAAAGTTTTGGAAGACGTAAATTTTGCTTATTTTCTTCCCAAAAATTCGATGGTATATCAATTGAACGATTCTTCGATGATTTTTCATGAATATTCGTCGTTTCATTGATATATTTATTCATTGTTTCATTGTTATCATTTGATTGTTCCTTACGTGGTAAATATAAATTTCCGTGAATTCCGAATTTTTCTTTAATTCATTCGCTTTTATGAATGGAATCAAAAGAAAAAGAAAAATTCGACAAAATTCGAAAAATTGAAGAATAATTCTCACTTTTTAAGGAAACCACATTAGAATGCGTAACTGAACTATTCGTTTCAGAAATTTTTAATTCTTCTATCGACTGAGAATCGTCGTTATTCGCATTTTTTTCGTCACCATCTTCATATTTCGCATTAGCGAATCGTTGTTCGTCAATTTCGTTAAATTCTTGTTCGTCAACTTGGTGGAATTCGCAGAACTAAATTCAAATAATATTGTTATTATTAATAATGAGATCAGAATTCATGGAAAAGAAAATGGAAAATGAAAAAGAAAAAAAAAACTAAACTGGAAATTAAATAAACACTGAAAATGATAATTTAATCGATCAGTTATGGCTGAATTTTTGAAACATCGTTTGAAAAATTTTAATAAAAAATAAGAAATATAACCTGCAAAGTTTTATGGCTTCCATCTGATGATCCCCTAAAATTTTTGATTATCATTATCATTATTTAAATTCGATAATAGATAAATGATAGCGCTGATAAAGGTAAAAATTCAAATAAACAATTATCAAAGAATTAACTTACAAAAAGTTTTTTACAAAAAGTTTTTTAAATAAAATAAAATAAAAGAGAACGTGCAACGAACCGATTGTAACTGGGAATATCGTCGGAACGAGGAGAAATTTGCCTCTCGACTATACCAGAATCTTTCACAATAAGATCGTTAATTTCTTCATTTTTTATTGTTTTAATATCTTAATTTTATTAATAATATAAATAAAATTAATAATTTTATTAATTTTATTTTATTAATAAAAATAATAAAAAAATATTAAATCCAATTAGTGGAAAATAATTACAATTTTGGATGGTTTAATCCATTAGGAGAACATTAATGTCATTGATATTATCACTAAGGTTGACCATTTGACAATTGCATAATTATATTCCATACTTCCTCTCCTTTCCCCCTTCCCTCCTCCCTTTCTTCTTCTAACAGCTCTTACCACTGGTCACTGGTTAGGCTGGCTAGCTCCAAGGATAAGAAGCTTCCAAGCTGCGCGGTCTGATGCCATCATCGACAGTAATAGAAGCCATTCCTTTTTCCATCGTATAGTTCATATAGTGCTGGTTCATATACGTTCAAAATCTTTTCTGACCGTATCAGTCCAGGTCTTGGTTGGTCCACCTCGCTTTTGATGCCAACCATCACATGGTTTAGCAAATAAGGAAATATGCGTCAACTCCTATGGTGAACGACGGAGAACGTGCCCTAACCAGCGAAAGCGACGCTCTGTGATAACATTATTAATACAGGTGGTATTTGAGAGATGATAGATACAATCATTTGATTTTATCAACTCGACGGATCCATAGAATATAACATGAGTGGTCAAAGACAGAAATAACTTCTTAACATCCTCCACTCTCATTCACCATATAGCAAGAAGCATATAGCAAGATCGAACGGACCACGACTATATAGATGCGAACTTTCGTTTTTATGGTGATTTCACGACGACTCCATAAAGGTTTCGTCAATCGGAAGAACACATTTCTAGCTGCCGTGATCCGAGTTGTAATATCATTTTTTGCCTGCCATTTAGTATTAGAATCCCTACAATCCTCTACAATCCTCTCCTTTCTATTTTTCGTCTATTTATCATCGTTTTATATATTCTCTATTCTAAGAGATATTCTTCTTATAGTACAAATTCAAACAATCAAGCTTGGTAATTAATTTATTTTCATAAAAAATTTTTTCATTCATACTCATACAAAAGAATATTTTTCACACTCTAATCATACATGAACTATGTAATTTCAATAAAAAATAGAAATGGGAATGTATTCTCCAAAAATTTCCCACTTCTAAAATTTATCCTTTTTTCCAAAGTAGTAATTTATCAACGATAAAGTTATTATAAAATTGATTAGATTATCATTAAATTTCATTTCATATCAGAAAGCGCCCAATATTACGCAAAAATTACCTTTGCCTTCCAAATCGCCAAACATTCGCAACATTTCGCTTTTATAACTAATAGCCTTATTTGGTAATTCATCCGTGGATGAATATTTACTATCGTCATTTAGTGAACTTTGAGTTGAATCGCTTGGATGCAACGATAATTTTTCCATTGAAAAATTTTCTTCCAGATTTATATCGCTAAAAAACAGAATAACAATTATTATTATTATTATCTTTATTATTATTATTATTATCTTTATTATTATTATCTTTATTATTATTATCTTTATTATTATTGTCTTTATTATTATTATTATTTTTATTATTATTATCTTTATTATTATTATTATCTTTATTATTATTATCTTTATCTTTATTATTATTATCTTTATTATTATTATTATTATTATTATTATTATTATTATTATTATTATTATTATTATTATTATTAATCCAATTATTAAAACGATTCGAATTGAATGCAAAATAACCTTTGTAGACTTTGACAAGAAATTTGCAATGAATTTTGAAACGATGAATTCTGTCCGATAATTAAGGCTTCTTTCGATGGACTAAAAAAATTAAATAAATTTAGACATTTTTTTTTTGGTTTTAAAAAAGAATTTGTCGATTAAAAAAAAATTCACATAAAAAATTTTATTAAAAAATTTTTTTTTATTTTTATTTGAAAGAAAAATTAAAAAATTCGTATATTTGCTGGAATTTTGATTAATTTTCATTAACTTTTCGGATGATACTGCCCGGCTCATCTGTATTTCTATCGCCAAAAGACTCCCCTGGTATAACTTTCTTGTCCGACAAGCCAGTGGAACGAGTCGAACCAATAATGGTGAGAATTTTTTTTTTTAGAAAAAACACTTCAATTAGAATATTTTAGATTATTATTTTAAATTATTTTAAAATTAAAAAAGCTTAAAAGGATTTGTTGATTAATTAAATTAATTAAAATAATTAAGAAATGCTTTAAAAAAAAAAAAAACGAACCTCGCACTTGTATTGCTTAATTGCGTAATTTCGACACTTTCATTGAATTCAGTAATATTCGAATTTTCCTCCATCTAAATATTAAAAAAAAATTGAAAAAAAAAATAAAATCATAAATAAAAAAATTTAAAAAATATGTATTTAATATTTACAAAATCATTATTAAAATATTGGAAATTTCAAATCAATTTTTCTTTTAAAATTTACAAAATAGAATTTTTTCAGCGAAAAAAAAAAGTAAACAAATTCGAATATCGAAAATAATAATTTTATAAATCCAAGAATAACGAATTATTTTGTGGAAATGGTTTTCATAAAAAAAAAACGAGCAAAAGCACCAATAATACGGCGAAGTTCAATCGATATGAAATTTCTTGGAAAAAAAAATTTTTTCAAAAATTTTTTCGAATGAAAAAATTTTAATAGAATTTAACGAATATTTTAAAATATTAAAATATTCATTAAAAAAGAAAAAAAAATTTTCAAACAAAATCAATGAAAATAATTAAATAAAATGTTGAATAAATAAAATGAAAATACCGATTAAATTGATGGATTTTTTGTTTTTTTTCGAAAAAAATTTCGATTTAAGAAAAAATTCGAATTAGCCGAAATTAGAAATTATTGGTTCGATTTGGTTCGTTTCACTTTAGCGATGAATTATCGCGTTAAATGGTACCAATCTGAACATAAATATTAAATAAGTTTATTGATTTATTCATTGGTAAACCACTAAAGCCATATTAGAATAATAAAAAAAAATTGAAAATTTTATATTATAGAGTTATTTTAATTATTTTATTTTTATTTTTAGGTTCAATTTTAGTTAACCAATTTATTTAATTTAGTTAACCAATTTATTTTTTAAATTTATTGAATTTATTTTTGAATAAATTAAAAATTTTCTTGACAACTTTAGATTTTAAAAAAATTTCTAAAAAAATTTTTTTTTTCTCAATTTTTTTCCCTTATACGAATCAAATGATTTTTCTACTAATAATATTTGTAATAAATCCAATAAATAGCTTTTTTTACCGCTTATAAAATATATTGAAAAGTTCCATGACCTATATTCAATTTTAAACCTATAGAACAATTCTATGCATAATAATAATAGTGAATCAAAAATCACGACTCACGATCGCATTTCAACCAGTGACAATATAATAATCAATGTTAATTTAAGGATTAATTATTAATTTTAAGGATAAATTTAATTAATATAAAATAAAAATAAATAAATAAATAAAAATTATTAACGATAAAAATAAAATAAAAATTATTACTCTTATAAGAATATTGAGTATTAAATTATTAAAGTTGGTTCTATTGAGTATATTTTTATATGAGAAAAATTATTTTAAAAAATGCAATTCAAAAATTAATTTTTTTTTATAATTTTTTTCATTGTATTATTATTTTTATTATTATAAATAATATTTCTATAAAATTTAAAAGTTAAAATTATTTAGAAAAAAAATCCATAAATTTTCCAAAAATTTTAATTTTTAAAATCCATTTTTGGTTTTATTTTTTTAAACAATGTATTTAGTGCGATACTTCGAAAAAAAAACGATTGAAATTTCCATACGAAACGATCGAAATGAAATGAAAAATGATTGAATCGTAGCAGATTTTTCGTTTTTCGATTTTTCGCTAAAAAATTTTTTCCGACGATGAACAATTTGTTTGTTGGCTTATTTGATCGCTGAGAAACGAATCACCTTTTATTGGTTCTATAAAAATCTATTATTTATTTTTTATCAATTAATTTTTTATCAGTATTTTTTATCAATTAAAGATCTATTGAAATGTTGATAATCATTATTTTTTAGAAAGGAAGAGAGAGGTCGATTAACAATGCTAAACAATGGTTGGTTAGCGTTGCGATTAGCGTTGAGCAGTAGGTGTTTTTTTTTTAGAATTTGAATTCTCGCCAACCCGGATAGCATTATGATAAGCTGGGTGATTTGTATTCTTATCGCTAAAAAAATTCTAAAATATATTTCTAAATAATCAGTGGAAATCGAATTTAAATAGAAATGATAAGCGCCAAAACACTTTTAGATTTTATTTATTTATGTATTGAAAAAATTGACGTTCCTTGATAAAAACATTTTAAAAAACTGATAAACTGATAAAAAAACGATGATCTATGAAATAATTATCGATGAAATGATTTAGAATGATTATTTTTTACATAAAATGAAAACTGATAAGAATCAATGATTCTAATCCGAATTCTTCAATTCGTTTCCAAATATTTTAAAATTTAATGATGCGAAAAAACTTTTTTTAGTGAAATAAACGACTTCATGAAAATTCTGAATTTTGATCTATAAATTAAAATAAAATTATTTCCATGAATCGATAATCCATCGATACGACAAGACGATTTTTATTTTGGAATATTTAAAGGAACTGAAAACAACGATGGAATTAATTTGGAGACAATGGTTATTGTCACGAGGAGGGCGAAAACTACTTTGGAGTCGGTGCACTTCCATTCCTTTTGGGCTTCGGTCGCTTTTATATTCATTCATTAGGCGATTCGTCGACAACATTGGACTCATTTTGTATTTTTCGCGCTCCACTGGCCCCATTTCCATTTCACTTTCTTTATGAGTGATATCGTCTTATCTTATCTTATCTTATTTTTATTGATTCGCTATTTTAGCATATTCGCCGCAAACTACTAATGCGCAACATTTTGAACTCGTTGAAACTCCTTGCTTTGATCAAATTGCATTGATCCTTGATTGATCGCTAATGAATATGTAATTGACAAGGTAATTGCTGGTGAGAATCCATTTTCTTCTATTCTTCAACGACTTAAAAGTAGGCTTTTTGCTTTCGTCGATTCGCGACAAATGAAACATATTTGGAAAAATCCATAAAAATTCCTAACTAATGCGATTTAAATATATAAAAAAAAAAGGAAACATTAATGCGATGCATTTTAATACGAAAAAATAATTCGAAAGTAACGATTGGATTATTTTTTATATTAAAAATGGAAAATAATAAAAAATCTTTTTTTAAGAAGAAATTCATAATAATGCAAAAAAAATAGAAAAATTTTGGAAAAAATAAAAATATTAAAAAAAATTGCAAAAAAATGATGAATAGGTGGTGGTTTAACGCGTGAAAAAGCGATTAGTATTATAGAAGAAATAATTAAAATAAACTGAAAATCGATATGAAATATGCGATTTATAGAAATTTATATATATATATACATCCATGTAAAAAAATTAATAATTATTATTAACAAATAATTAATAATAAAAAAATAAAAAAATAATAAATTTCGAATTTTATTAAATTTTTACAATTAAAATAAAATATAGTAATAAAATATTATACAATAAAAATATAATAATAATTTGATAATAATATAATATAATAATTGTAAAAAAATAGATGAATATAATAATAAATTTATAATTTATTATAAATTTATATAATAGAAAAAACAATAAAAATATTTTTATATTGATTTTGAATGATTCAAAAGCTTTAGTTTTAAAGCTTTTTTTAAGTTTTTATGGAATTTATAAGATAATTGAAGATAAAAATAAAATTTTATATTTTTATTTATTTATTTTATTTATATTTTATATTTTTATATATATTTATTTATATTTTATATTTATTTATATTTTTATTTATATTTTATATTTTTATATATATTTTAAATTTTATATTTTAGCAATTAGATTAGATTTATCGAATATCGCCCATTAATCACTAGGACGGCCAAATGCAACTAAAATAAGAGCGTTTAGCCAATTGCAATAAACTAAAATCATCCATCATTCATAATTTTTCCGGACTTCCAATGAAAATTTTTTTTGATAGGAAGTGGCAAATATTAATCGAAATGAATTGGATGGCTTAAACGATCATTTCCCACAGAAAATAGGCTATAATAATTTTTTATTATCGCAAAAGTTGAAATTCGCTATTATTAATTTATAAACTATAATATTGTTAAATGGGATAAAATCTTTCTGTTCTGCTGTTATCACCTAAATTAGCTGCATGATAAGAATGGTGAATAAGATCATCGAGTGATAAAGAACTACACTATCTTTGATTTTAATCCGAATAAAATATCACCTAATCATTTATCATTTAATATCTCAAAAATCAGAATTATTTGCAAATTCACTCAAATATAAATTTATCATTCTATAAATAATTTAAAAATAAATAAGTTTTATGAAAATTTAAAAATAACGACTATGATTCGCAAACATTTTTCATTCAATACGAACAACAATATTTGCCTTTCACATGGATTTTTCATTATGTTTCGTCAACGCATCTGGCAAATCGGTTTGCACTTTCCTCGGTTGATTTATAGAATTTTCAATATTTGAATTATTTTAACAAATGATTTATCCTAGTAACATGAATATTTTGAATGAATTTGCTATTAAATTTTACTTAAAGACGTAAATGAAACTTTCATATTGGACTATTGAAGATCCATTATTGTGGAACTAAACAGTTAAACCAGGAATGACGAGTGAATGAAGAATTTATAAGAGTTTTTTATCTAAGAAATTTTAGGAGATTATTTCCTTGAAAAATATCGCAGTTCATTGAATTTCCTTTAAAAATTGAATTTTTTTTTTTTTTTTTAACTTATCACATATTGTTTATCACCATAAACGAATTTTTATAATAAAAAAATTATCGTTATTTTAATTTCGATATTTTTTTCCATTAAATCATAAAAAAATAAAATGTTTTTAAAAAAAATTAACCAATTTGTCTGAATTGCAATTTTTCCTTTCCCAATGAAACGCACATTTAGAATAAATTTCCTTCTTATCGATCATTTTTATCCTAAATTATTTTTAAATAATATTTTTTTTAATATATAAGCATTTATAATTTATAATTTTTCTATTAAAATTTTATCATCCTTTAAAATTTATCAATAATTTTCAATCTGTTTTTGACTTTAAATTGATTGCATTTAATCGATTTAATTTATTTAATTTTTAAAATATATTTATAGAAAATTTATTTAAAAAATTTTATATTTAAAATATTTCATAATAAATTGAAATCAAAAAAAAATAGCAAAAAAAACATTTAATATTATTAATATTAAATTATTAATATTCATTGATTCATAATAATAATAAATATTTGTAAAAAAAATTAATAGAAATTTCTCTTTGAGAATTTTGAAAAAAAAATTCAAGCAAATCTGAAAATAATTATAAAATTCATACATAAAAATATTTTGCTAATTGCTTAAATGAAAAATGAAATAAAAATAAAATAATATGATAATAAATTAAATCGAACACATTTTTACTTGACTATCATATCACTTAAATCAATGGATTAGAAAAAATCTACTAGCATATCACTGATAACAAATCGCATAACTGTTTATAAAATAAATAGCAATTGTAGGCGAATGGTCAATAAAAACGATTACGGAGTTATTTAATGCTTCGATAGCAGTTAGCCAATATAATTTCGTTTTCTATCTTTCGAAATAGATAAATCTATTAAATAAAAATAAAATAATCTGATAAAAATAAAATACGAATGGATACTACAAATCTATCAATAATTTCACTTCATTTTTCGGCAAAAAAATACCATCCAAAGGACGAATTTTAAAAACCATTGATGCAAATTTTTTTTTAAAGAATTTTCACCACTACTGATTAAACTGGCACCACTGGCTTGTCGCGCTGATGGCAGAAAGTCCTTTGGCGATAGAAATACAAGTGTGTCGCCAGTACCACCCAGATTTTTGGGTAGGTTTACTGCTATAGGGAATAGAACCTTAGTGCTGGCGCTCCGAATTGGTAAATAGTAGAATTTAGTATCACAATGGTGATATCATTTATATATAATATAGAAAAAGCAATGTCGCAATACAACTACCTTGGGGAACACCAGATTTAACAGGTTTTCTCTCAGAAAGAGTGTTATTGACGAGTACGGATTGGTGACGATCTTTTACGCGGTTTGATGTTATCGTCGACAGTAGAAGAAGCCATTCCTTTTTCCATTGCCTAAGTCCATATATTGCTGGTCCACCTATGCATTCAAAATCTTTTCTGACCGTATGAGTCCAGATATCAGGTCTTGATTGGTCCACCTCGCTCACCATCCATCACACGGTTTAGCAAGTAACGAAATATGCAACAACTCTTGTGATAGACGACAAAGAACGTGCCCTAACCACTGTGACAACATTATTAATAGAGGTGGTGTTTGAACGAAGTTGGATGCGATCATGTGATATTTTATCTGCTCGACGGACCCGTAAAATATACCTTAGACAAAAGTGGTCAAAGATAGGTAGCTTCTTAATATCCTCCACTCCCACTGGCCATGTCTCAGAGCCATATAGCAAGATCGAACGAATTACGGCTATATAGATGCGAATTTTTGTTTTAATGGTAATTTCACGACGGCTCCATAAAAGGTTTTTCTTCTAATTATTAAATAAAAAATAAATATTGAAAATTAATACCGAAAATTAGCTCCTTTCTATAGAAAATATTTTAGATTTATCACATGAAATTCGTCGATAAAATGCCATAAAAATCGAAACATGCATAACATTCAGATTTATTCGTTCATATGCGTCCTTAGAAATGTGTAATACCGATGACCTTCAATATATTTATTTATTTTCCATTATACGAGGATTTATGGCAATCACAATTAATTTATCTCCATTAGCAACCCATAAATAAAGTCATTCGCCTGCAAAAATCACTATTTCCTACTCAAATTTTAATTCATAATTATCCATTAATTTATAATAAAAAGAGTAAACTTCGCAGTTTCAGTTGAATTTGAATAATAAAGAAATCATAAAGAAATTAGGTAAATAATTTTAAAAATTAGATTTTCGATAACAACTTGTGATTATGATAATTATGATTACTAGCAACTATTACTTTTACTATCACTATTGCTATTATTGCACTACTATTAATGCCACAAATATCAGTAGAACAAAAATTTTAAAATAAAATATTTATTAACGTATAAGAAAAAATAAAAAAAATATTAAAATTCTTGGAGTTAAATCCAAAAAAGATCACTTTATCAAATAAAATGAATAAATGAAAAAATTAATAATAAATTCATATTTCACAAAAAAAATTGATGAATTGATAACAGACAAAATTATAATAAGGAAAAGAGAATAAACTCGGTTTGTTTAAAAGAAATTAGAATCCTAGAAGAGAAAATGCACACAAATGCAAATAGCAAATAGCTGCAACAATCGATTTAAAAAAATTAATTTTAACTTATTGAAATGAAAAATATGAAAAATACCACTTTTTTAAGGGAAAATATGGAGAATAAAATTTAAAAAATGTAAAAAAATATAATATAAAAGCATTTATGTGAAATACGATGCATTGAAATCGACAACATCATTGTTCATCTTTTTTTGTTCTGAAATTAATTAAATTAAATTAAATTAAAAAACGAAAAAAAAGAGAAAATTCGTTCCATGAATCGTAATTATGATAAAAATTTTTCTAAAAAATATTTAGAAAAAGAAGAGATTAGTGAAAATTTTACTTTTCATCTTCGAGCGACATTTCATCTGCATTCAGTTCTTCTTTTTGGGACTCTACTTTTTCACCTTTCTCTTCTATTTCCTCTTCTGCTTCTGCCACTTTGTCTTCTAGTACTTTCATAATCTCTTTTTGAGGTCCAATCATTTCTTTGCCATGTTTCTTTTTTAGATCGCCAAATGATCGTCTTTCTGATCTATTCTGCAATGTACCAGGCATTCGAGGTGCAAGAGGATTGCGAGAAAAGAAATGTTTAAGACAAGGATTATCTATGGAACCATCTGGGCGTTTGAAATCGACAGGTGAACGATACTGAAATAATAACTATTATAATCCAAATCAACTTTTAACCGAATTTTGCGAATAAACTTTTCGCAAAATCATTTAGATCTAAATAAGAATTCATATCTGCTCTACAAAATAGACGAAAACTCTGACGCCGGCAGACCTATTTTTTCATTTTAATTTCATTTCAATAGATTATAATTATTTTAAACTCGGTTAGCTAATCACCGTTGTATCGCTAGTAATTCTTCATTTACAAATCAAATCAGTCAAAAGTATATCAATTAAATTTAAATTTTTTATTAAATTTTATGAAATAAGAAAAAAATTATGATTAAAAATTTTAGATGTAAAATCATACATGAAAAAATGTATCGGCAGTATTTCGAACCCTTAGCATTGCTGGTGTCTTTGGCAACTGCAAAATGAAAATGAATATATACATAATATTTAAAAAAATTTCAATAAAAATGCAGAAATCTTGTAACACTTTATTTTATCTTAAAAAAATCTTGTAGCATATTATACATTAATTAGATAGAAATATTATATTATTTACTTTATTTATATATTACATTATTTATTTATATTTATATAGAAAGTATAAACGTGGTTCAAAATATAAATTATTTGCAAATTTATTAGTTGTTATAAATAGTTACATATTATAAATGATAAACAATATTAACAATAATAAACGTCCAAAAGACAATGAAATATGCATTATAATATGCATTAAAAAGTATTTTAAAGCATAAAAGTATTTTAAAATGTCGTAAAATATATCAAAAATGTATTTTAAAATATGAATTTATCTAAATTATTACTTTAATCGATATGAAAGATTTCAGTTGATTCGACAAAATATCTAAAGAGATATCTGAATTTACCAGAAATATACGAAATGCTATTCGTCCAAATAAAATTTCGTGAATTTCGGACTGTAAGACTGATTTGTGGGTGAAATAGTAAGATTTTTCCATTAGATAAGCAAAAGTGTTTTCAAATCAGCACAAATCCTTCATTATTCCACCAAATATTCCCTAATATTTCTTATGTATCAAGTTGCTCTGTTCGACAAGGCCTTAAGGAAAAATAAAAAGACTGAGTGGTTAAGGAGCTATAAATTTGGTGTTAAAGATCAGATTATTATACAAATATATAAGTAAATAAATAATTCATATATAAAAATATATATTATTTATAAGATTTGTTAAAAAATAATGAATAAAAAATAATGAAATAAAAATTATTAAAAAAAAATGAAATTATTTTTAAAAAATATAATAAAATATAAACTAAAAAATATATCAAAAATAATAGAAAAATATAGAAAATTTATTTAAATTTATAAAAAATCTAAAAAAAATGTAAAGTAAAACTTGAAGTTGAAATGTAAAGTTAAAAAAAAATTAAAAATAAATATATTTTTAAACGATTTCTTTTTTTAAAAAAATTACTTTTTTTTCAGTTTCATTGTTTTTCTGCTCGGCGCTTTGATCAGATGTTGGCGATAAGAGGTTCGCATCAGACATTTGTGGCTCCACAATCTAAAAAATAAATTTATTATATTTCGACATATTTAAAGTAATAGAACGCAGCAAAATAGCAATAATAATTATAGTAATAATTAATAATTAATATTAATAATTAATAGCAAATAATAGAAATTATAAAAATATAAAAAAATGGCCTAAATCGCCCACTATGAAATATAACCAAAAAATTTGTTGGCTTTTTACGCTACGCGGGATTTTATATGTCAAATCTTCGATTATCAAACTTTTTATTAAAAAGTTTTACAATCTTAAAGAAAAATATAAAAGGGTAGCAACGATTTAAAAATTGACTCTTTACATTGTCAATAAATCGAATAGATAAGAAATAAACGGCAAAAAATCCTAAAAATCAAAGAATATATTTGTAAAAATAAAAGAATTTTTTCTGACCGACAATTTGAATCCCAAGATGATCGATAAAATAAAGAGATTTCGAGAGGAGCAAACAAAAATATGATCAAAAGCAGACATACAAACTTGTCGAAATATATTTTGGGATAATAAGCCTTAATGATTTGGTTGATAAGACTGATTTGGCTGATATTATTAAAATGATATTATCATTTATCATTGATTTTAGATTTTAAATGAAATTTAACAATTTAAAAATTTATCACAATTTTATTGCCTTATTAAGAATAAATTAACAAAGGATATTTGATGATAAAAATGATAAGAACTGATAAAAAACGACCCATAGAAAATCCAACAGAACACCGAATTCTTAACTATTTCTCAATAAATTTGAATGAAATTTGAATTAAATCATTATTCAATTTAAATTTGGCGCCATATCTATTTGAAAATGTGAAAACTTAGCAACTATATATTTATGACGAGAGAACAAGTATTCTATATGACGATGATGGGTTGAAACCTGTTTGAATCAAATAAAGAAGGAAGTTTTATATATATGTTATGATGGTACCATTGAAAAAGGACTGGAAAAAGGAGACTTCTTTTCTTTTCCTATCAGCGCCCATATTAATTAGGCTAGCTCTGCTGATTACAAGGAGAAAACATTTTCAAGCGGCTCGATCCGATATCACAAGAGTACCATTCTTTTTTTTTTTGCCAAAGTTCATACTCTTTTAGTCTCTTCTATAATGGTTCTCTTCTATAATATTTCATCAGCGAAGAACCAAGGTACCACATTTTCTCTTGCATTCGTATTGAAATGATAAGGAAAAGAAGGAGTCTGATTGGCTTAAACGATGCTCGATCATTTTTATCACGAGTACCACGAGAAGAAAAATTAGAAATCGACTGCAACCATAAGAAAAAAGAGTGGTACCATAAAGGAAGAAATAACTATAGGACATTGGCTATAATATACTTACACGAGAAACTGGCTGAGTAATTCGTTCTTGTAAATCCACTAACGATATCGTAAATGGTGTTCGTCCTTTCTCCATAGAACGATTAATTTTTTGAAAATTTTCATCTAAACTTTTTTCTTTCGTTTCTTCATTTTCCACTAATTTTCCCTTAAATAAGATTTTTAATTTTTTGAAAAAAAAAAGAAATTTTAGAATTATAAAATTTTAATAAAAATAAAAATTATTTTAATAAATTTTAATAAAAATTTAATAAAATTTTATAAAATTAAATTAAAAATAAAATTAAAATTATAAAATTAAAATAAATACCTTATTTTGTTGAATTTTTTCGTTGTCTTCATTTTCAATTGTTTTATTATTCATTTTTTATTTTTCTTAAAAATTTTTTAAACGAATTTGTATATATATATATAATATAATAAAAATAAATTACAAATCGAATACGATAAACGCAATAAATAATTTAAATTTAATAAAAAAAAAGAAAAAATTATAAGAAAATAAAAGAAAAATGAATAAAAATTTTAATAAATATAATAAAAAATATATAATAAATATTAAATATAATATAATAAAATATAAAAATATAATATAATAATATAATAAATATAATATAATATATAAAAAAAGAAATATAAAAAATAAAAAAACAATAATAAAGAAAAATAAAAAATAAAATAACCAAATAATAAAAAATATTTTAACGAAAAAAATGAAAAAACAAGTTTAATTTAGCGAAATTAAAAATTGAATTAAATATTTCGAATCGTTAGACAATAAATTATTTAATTATATTTATTTTAAATAAATGTATATTTAAAAAATTAATTTATTTCAACAATTAATAATGCAAATAAAAAAATTAATTGTTTCATTTCATTGAGCGTTTAAAGTAGATTCTTTATTTTAGACTTAGGCTTAGGCTGTTTTAATAATTTAAAATAAAAATAAAAATAATATAATAAAGATCGAACTCTTCCAAAAATAAGATTCGCGAATGAATTTATCATTAAAAATATGTAAAAATATGTTGATTAATGTTCGACGATTCACATGCATTGCTGATTAGCCGGAAGATATTCCACCTTAACAGTTAATATTTATCAGCCATTTAATGAATGTTGTTAGAACGAAAAGCCTAAACGAGTTTAAACTATTGAAAAAATAAATGATTTTTATCAATTACGAAAAATTTTTGCAAAAAAAACAAAAAACAAAGAAATATTCGAGAAATAATTAAATTCGATCAGTTAAGGTGATAAATTTTACTAAAAAGCAAAAATTTTTTTTTGAAGAAAAATCTATCAAAAATTATTCGTTTGTTTAGGCGTTAATTATAGGTTATCGAAAAAATTTGTGGCCAATTTTTAGATAAAAAATAATCAAATAAATTGAATCAAAAAAAAAACAACTCGAAAAGCAAAAAAAATATTTATTTATTTTATTGAAATATTAAAATATTTAAGCAAATTATTCGATTAAAAAAAAAAAAAGATTTTTTTATTTTATTTTATTTTATAAAGATTTTTGTATTTATTTAGACGTAAAAAAAAATCAAAATTTTAATTAACTATTTAAATACAATTTTTATACAAAATACAATTTTTAAAATTCGAAAATATTCATATTTTTTCGATAATTAAAATTGATTTATCTCATTTAATACGTTTTTAAAGATGAATTTCCTTAAAAAAATTATTATTGAAAAAGATTTTTGGCCAATATTTTTTAGCCAAAAGTATTATTTTAATAATCTGAAATATAAACGAGGAATATGAAAGAAATTCGAAATAATATTTGCATTAATAATCGTCACTTCCATTGATATGATTATAATAATCAGTAAATAAAAATAATTTAACAAATTTCATGGAGGAAAACTGGTATTTCTTTTTCCTCACTATTACCTTATCATATGCAACAAATATATGCCAGGGGAGCCCTTTAGCGATAGAAATACAAATGAGTCGCCATCCGGATTTTCGGAGAGGCTTATTTTTGCTGAGAGTAGAATCTCAGCACCGGCGTTCTGAATTCAGCACCAATCCCACTAAGCCATTCTACTTCTCACTGAGATCTAAAAATTTCTATAAAAATAATTGGACATTTTGGAAAAATCATCGAACACGAGTCTATTCGATAATATCAAATTTATCAGTCGGACTTGTATAGATCGTATTTGCGCAATGAAAATAATGCTTGTTGACATTTACTACGAGAAAAATGGAAATGGAGAGAGGTATCGTCAGTTTCTTATAGGTGATCACCTGTACTTTTATCACCAAATGGTCACCATATTTTTCTATCACCAAATGGTCACCATATTTTTCTATCACCAAATGGTCACCATATTTTTCTATCACCAAATGGTCACCCTATTTTTCTGCTATAACTAATTGGACAAAGGTGAAAAAGGGAAAAAAATCAATTCATATTTGAGAATAATTTTCCTTCTCCCAATTATCCCTTTTTTTTTCGCTAATTTGTATATGAATTATATAATTTATATTTGTATTCGGATAAATAAATTAGATTTGGCTTCGCGTATAACTTTATATATTTAAAGTGTGCACCAAACCTTAATCACTTCCAAGTTAAGTTAAGTTTTGCTTTTCTTCCAGGGTTTCCCTTGGCGATTTGGAAATCCTTAACGAATTGTTAAAATCGCTTAAGGTTCATTAATCCTGGCTAAACTCGCTTCACTGGTTTTTAGTGGCTGGGAAAATGCCCCGTGGACGTGATAGAAATACAAGTGACCAAATGATGATAGAAATATAAGGGTGACTACTTGGTGATGGAAATATAGGGTGATTACTTGGTGATGGAAGAATAGGGGTGATTACTTGGTGATGGAAGTATAGGGGTGACTACTTGGTGATGGAAATATAGGGTGATTACTTGGTGATGGAAGAATAGGGGTGACTACTTGGTGATGGAAGAATAGGGGTGATTACTTGGTGATGGTAGTATAGGGGTGACTACTTGGTGATGGAAATATAGGGTGATTACTTGGTGATGGAGGTATAGGGTGACTATTTTGTGATAGAAATACCACTGTTAGTACCACTTGGACTTTTTAATGAAGCATTGTTAACTTTCAAAAGAATAATCTGAGCAACAAATATTGAAAAATAAATATTGAAATCAAGATTCATTCGTTTACTTCCCACGAGATTTTTATAAAATATTTCCTGCCATCAATTCATTCTAATTTATATATTACGCAAGACATTGCTAGAAACTGCTGTATTGGTGCATTGGTGCACTGGTGCAGTGGTGTAATGGTGCTTTGGTGCAATGGTGCATGATTTTTCGCTGCTTCTCATTTTGCACACGATGGGTGCATTCAATATTATTTAACGATATCCTTTAGGATTAACAAAATCAAAGCGTCTATTTGCAGTTTGATTTTTGGGTTTAGCTCATTGGTTCAACTCTTCGGGTTGACTTCCTTTTTATTTTTCCCTGCTTTTATTTTCAGATTATTTTTTATTTTTCTATCCCAAACAATTAATTTTTACCTAAATTATTTAATTATTCATTTTATTTAATTCGACGTATACTTTTCCAGTGAATTGACAGTTCCTTCGATTTATTTCTCAATTAAGAAAATATAAAAAATTTATAATTATAATTATATTTATAATTATATTTTATAAAATCATAAAATTTATTATTTATTTGAATATTTAAAAAAAAATTTAAAAATTATAATAAAATATTTTTATATTTTTTATTTATTTTTATAAAATATAATCGATTTGAAGTTTTCTATTTGGCAAAAATTTATTAAATATTTTTTCTTATTTTAAAAAATTTAAATTTAATTTAAATTAAAAAATCGATAAACAATTAATATTGATTAATATAAATAAAAATAATTATAAAATTTTAATATTTTTTAATAAAATTTATAAAAATATTGTTTGAAATTGGCGCAAATAAAAACGCATTGCAAACGCAGCAACGCTTTTTAGTGCATTTACATTCACGTGATTGTATTAAAACATCTAATTATTGTTGGATATTAGTTGAATGCGAGAAGGGGAGTCATAGGCGACGGAAGAGGAGGAGAAGGAGGGCGAGCGGGGAGGGCGAAGGAGAATATTGGGGAGGGGAAGGACGAATCGCGGGGTTTCGGCATCTGATTTTAGGTGAAATATGATTCAACGAAATGCGATTAATGCCTCTTAGTTTAGATTAGAATTAAAGTCGGACGATTCGTGTAATTTTGAGGAAATTTAAGCGAAAAGGTGCAAAAAGATAGAACCATAGGTGCCATACCAGGTGAATGGTGAATGGTGAATAGTGGCGAACATTGAAATCAGTTTTTATTAAGGTAAGAAAATTAAATGGTACTCATTGTCCGAAGGAGAGATTCAACCGACTAATCATATTCGTTCTCAATCACTCTCAACAAAAATCAAGGTGAAAGACAACCTGATATTTTTTCTTTATTTTTTTTTTCTTTCCAAAATTTTTCGCATAACTTATGTCAATTTCTACTTGACTTCGTTGACCTTTCGTGACCTTTCTTTCTTTTATATTAAAAATTTGCCTTATTTTTTATTAATTAAATTTTTTATTAAATTAAAAATATAAAAAATTATTTAGACTAAATTTTATTTATTTTTTCTTAGAATTGTATAATTTTTTCATGAAAAAAAAAAAATTTTTTTTTTATTTTTACAAATTTTATTTTGCAAAAAAAAATTCTTATTTTTTAATTTTTTTCAGATAATTATTTAAGCGATATTTTTTAATTATTTGCTTAAAAAGATTTCGAATCGGCTTCGCCAAATTATCTTTTCGGTTGGAATGACATCACCCGATATGGACAAAAAACGTTCCGATATTGATCTCATTAAATTGTTTGTTTTTCTTTTCCTTATTATATATTTTATTCGATATTCTTATTGATTAAGTCGACTAAAAATCGATAAGGTCAAAGGGCATTCTTCGCTTAGTGCTTTATCTGGTTTATATGTAAGAGAGCTTTGCTTTTTCGCCTTTTTTGATGCCGACATTGGTGGTTAAATTTTAATGCAAAAGGTCAAAGGGCACGAAAATTTCGTTTTTAATATATTCATTAAGGAAGAATTAAGGAAGAATTTTGTATTTTAAACTAAGTGTAAATTTTTCTATTTTTTTTTAGATTTCTTCCTAATTTAGACGAAAGTATTTTTCATAATATTGAAAAATATTTTTGTAAATAATTTTTTTTTTTTCAGAATCGAAAAAAGATACGAAGTGCATTTAAAACGTGGATTAAGCGAATTTTGCGTAAAATTTTATGGTCCAAAAGAAAGTACGAATATTAAAAAATTTTAAAATTTTTTATTTGATTTTTAATTTTTTTTTCATTTTTTATTGCTAATCTAATTTTATAAATTAAAATTAATTAATATAAAATTAATAATAATAATATTATTTCTAAATTTTACACCAAATTTTTGCCAAAAAAAAGCTAAATAAAATTAATAAATTAATTAAACAAATAAATAAATAAAGAATGAATAAAATTAATAGTGAAAAAAATAAAAAAAATTAAGAAATAATAATTTAAAAAATTGATTAAAATTATTAAATAAATTATTAAATTATTAAATAAAATTATTATTAAAATTATTTTAAAAAATTGATGGTTTCAGCTCCATATGAAGGAGGTGTTTGGCGGGTTCGTGTTGATATTCCCGATAAGTATCCGTATAAATCACCGTCAATAGGTTTCATGAATAAAATTTTTCATCCAAATATTGACGAGGCATCAGGTTCTGTTTGCCTCGATGTAATCAATCAAGCATGGGCAGCCGTATATGGTATGAATTTTTCACTTTTTTAGATTTATTTCTGAATAATTTTCTATTTTTGATTTTTCTTTTCCTATTTTTGATTTTGCTTTATTTATTCTATAATTTTTATATTAATTATAATTATTAGGATTTAATTCATTTATTTTTTATTTATAATATATCAATTGTGTGATAATTTTTGTTTTTTTTCTTTTTTTTTATAATTTTGGTTTAATAAATATTTTATATGGGAATTGAGCGGTTGTTTTTTTTTTAATTTTTATAAATTCTCACATTTATATTATATATATATATATATATATAAAGTCGCGAGATGTGAATTTTAATTCGGAAGTTATCTAAATTTTCTGTAAAATTGTCGATAGATGAAAAAACAGTTGGCTGTGATTATGGATAAACACGATAAACAATATGCTGTGATTAACCAGTTGGCAAGATCAGTTGTTATTCTGATAAGAAAGAATGAAAAGCTGTTATCAGTGTAAGTTCAGCCAGTAATGCTGGAAATATTAAGATCTATAATTGACATATAACAAGCGAATATGTCTGAACATTCTAAGAAAAAGGAAAAGAAAGAATTGTTCAGTTATTCAGTTTACTGGAAGATGGGAAGATGAAAAAAAAAGAGTATCTTCGAATATTAGCGAAGAATGATGTGATTGCAGCAAGCATAGATAAGTAATAATATATCGAGCATTAAAAATGTCCTCCGGAACACAATTCGAAGTTTTCGAATTACGAAAGTCATGCTATCATGATAATAAAAAAGCTTAGTGTTAGGGATTGCTTCATCATTATCACTGATCTGCAAATTATTGAGCTATACCATCCTCAGCTAATGAGTTTACTTGCAAGTAATAAATTTGGTCAGAATGCCTAGGGCCATTTCACTAGGAGGGCAGCCATATTTTTATTTTTTTTTATTGATAAAAATATAAAAATTGATTTTAAAATTTTCTGATTTTCTGATCGATCAATAACTCAAGCAGTATTCACATAGCGGTGTAAGGTGTGACTATTGGAGATAATCAGATAATTAAAATTTTATTTCGAAATAGCATATCGAAAAAGGATTAATAGTGGTGGTATGGCGAAGAGAAGTTGGTTTACTTTTCACCCGTTCCCATTCTTTTTTTTAGCGGCTAGCACCATTTTTTGATTCGCTACGCTCCACTGGTATTAAAATGTGCAAAATTTCACCTTTGGCTTGGAATCCTTGATATGTTAGTCGTAACAGATTTAGCGAGATTTTTAAATTTAGGTAGATTTCATAGAAGAATTTTTCTGCCTTAATATTTGTATGGAAATATGTCCATGAATTTGTACTGAAAAGGCTTAGCCTCATTATCTCCATAGCCAATGGCTATTAAGAAATTTTTTAAAATTTAAGAATGGTCTATTTTTTCAAGTTTAAAATTTTATAGGCTTTTTAACATTTGCATAATGGTACTGGAAGATTATTGGAATATATTTTCTAGTGAAATGGTACTTCCACTGTTTTTGCTTCTTTATGGATTTATTTATTTATAATTTTACCAAAAAACTTCGCTAATGCCAATTTATTTATAATTTTGCCAAAAAGCTTCACTAAAGTGCTTCACTGCCCAGCTTATTTTATATTTATTTATTTGTCTTTATTAATTTGCTTATTTTTAAATAAATTAATAATTTCTAAATTTTTTTTTTTATGGGAAATTTTTTTATGGCAATTTTGTGATAGTTATTTTTTATTATTTCTTATTATATAATTATTTATTCCAATTGCATTTAATAATTAATTTATTATAGCTCAAAATACATTTTTCATTTATATTTATATTTAGATCATTTTTAATTATAATTTTTTTTAGATCTCGCAAATATTTTCGAATCGTTTTTACCTCATCTTTTAACGTATCCTAATCCAAATGATCCATTGAATGGCGATGCTGCTGCATTATATTTGCATCGTCAACCGGAATTCGCGAGGAAAGTTAAAGGCAAAAATTTATTCTCTTAAATAATCGTAAAGAAAAAGTTTTCTTCGCACTGCTTATAAGTCATCCTCGATCTCGAATCCTCTACCCAGACACCTGGTAGATTGAGGATTCTGCATAGTTGTTCCTTATAGTGCGCTGTTCTGGATAGGGATCTCTGATATTGTTCTTGGAATCTGTTGAAACCACTTTTTTAGTTTTGAAAATCATCTTTCCAAGTGTTCTACTTGTCGCTGGAATTAATTTACTTTCCACATCCTCTCTCTTGTTCCTCTTTCAAGTCTTGGTATCTCCCTAACTTTTCATGTTCCCTCTTTCTGTTTACTGGCATTGCTATATCTATCACCGATGTTGCTTTCTGATTCTTGTATATTACCGCGATATCTGGTTGTTTGGCCAATGCTTCTTCTTCTTCTAATAACTCTCACCGTTACTGGTTAGGCTTGCTACAATGGTTACAAGGGTAAGACGCTTCTAAGCGGCGCAGTCTGATGCCATCGTCGACAGTAGTAGAACCCATTCCTTTTTCCATCGTCTAAGTCCATATATTGCTGGTCCACCTATATCTTTTCTTTTCTCAGTCCAGGTAATGGCCAACCATCACGCGGTTTAGCAAATAACGAAAAATGTGTCAACTCTTATGATGGGTGATGAAGAAAATGCCCTAATCAGCAAAGGCGATGTTCTGTGATAACATTATTTATACAAGTGGTATTTGAACGAAGATGGATGCGATCAATGTGATATCTTATCCGCTCGACGGACCCGTAAAATGTACCTTAGACAGGAGTTGTTAAAGGTAGATAACTTCTTAATATCCTCCACTCTAATTGGCCTTGTCTCAGAGCCATATAGCAAGATCGAACGAATTACGGGTATATAGATGCAGACTTTCGTTTTAATGGTAATTTCACGAGGGCTCCATAAAAATTTCGTCAACCGGAAAAATACATTTCTAGCTGCCGTGATCCGGGCTATAATATCGTCTTTTGTTTTGTGCTTGGTCATTTGTTATTAGAGTGGACCTAAGGTATTTAAAATTGGCCACTTCCTCGACTGGCAATGAATTTATAAAAAAAAGGCATTTCATCAGCTTCTTGCACATAAGATGAAAAGGCTTTCATTTTGTGTACGTTAACCCTGAGTCCTAGTCTTGCTGCAGTTTCTGATATTTCTGATACATTATTTAGCATTACTTGCATTTCGTCATAACTGTCGTCAAAAAGGAAAAAGGACTAAATCATCAGCGTATTCAAAATCTGAGCTATACTCTGGATTGATTTGCATGCCTCTTGAATGCCGACAAGCGATGCCCATTATCCAGTCTTTCTCATAGTTGAACATTGTAGGGGATAGGACGCAGCCTTGACGAACACCAGTTCTTATTTTGAAGGAGTTTGTCAGTTTCCCATATATACATATCTGCGCCGACGTATGCTCATAAAATGCCTTTATGAGTCGAATAATCTTCTTTGGAACACCATCGCATTCCATCAGCCTCCAAAGCGCCACTCTATCAATTGAATTAAGGCAGCCGCAAAGTCGATGAAACACATGGCAGTGCGTTGCAAATATCTGAAGCGATGTTCCAATACCCTTCTTAACGTGAATATCTGGTCAGCTTGATTAGGGCGCATCCTACTATCAGTGCTTTAAATATATAAATTATAAACCATATAACTGAGTCATACTTATCTAATGAAAATATCATTTTGGATTTTCAAATTTAATGAAACATATTTGACGAAAATAATTTCGAAAATTTTAGAAAAAAAGCATTTTTAGAAATATTTTTGATAAAAATAGTTGCAACTTTTAACTTATAAACTCTCTCTGGAATTTTTTTCATTTATATCTAATCACCCTATTTAATTTATAAATGTTTGGAAATATTTCAGAATATATTGATAAATATGCAACGGAAGATATAATTAGAAGAATGGATCGAGGTGAACGTACGAAGGAAACAACTCGTGATGGTGATAATACTGATTCGACTGTTTCCGAATATACATCTGAAGATATGTCCGATGATGAATCTGATTTTTTTATGGATACTTGAGGAAATTTGTAGAATATTATATAACATTTATAATTCTTCTTTCGATTAACTAATTGATTAACTAATGGTACTTTCTCTTTCTTTTATATGTTTTTAAAGGAAACCGTATATGGTTGCACATGATAATCTACTGTAATGCGATGGTGTATTTTTATTTCATTATTTACTGGTTTTAACTAAAGCAGTTTTATATTCTTCTATTCGGTTCTTTTATTCTTAGGAACTTTTCACAACCAAAAAAAGTTTCAAAATTAAGGTATTTTATTTTTTATTAATTAATCATTGAAAAAAATATTGGAAGTAACGTGGGCCGTTAAAAAATATAAAATGAAAAAACCATATATATCATTTATTTCATTTATTTTACCTATTATTGAAAATGTATGTAAATAGTTTCAAATCTTCTCTTATATAATATCTGATAGATTATAGGTTTGTTCCAATCAAAAAAAAAAAAAATGAAAATAACAGGATGAGCTGTGGCATTTAAGAAGATTTTTTATTACCAATTTTGTTATTGGATCTAGTCAAAAAAAAATTGCTATAAGCAATAAGAAAAAATAATTTATTTAAACAGTATGTTTGCTAAATTGGAATGAACCAAACAAAACCTAAAATAGCTGTGCTTTTTTTTTTTTTGTACATAAGTTTATTGTATTTGTATAACAATTGCTGTATTTTTTTTTTGCTTTCATCTTACGTATCTGCTACACTTATCTGTGAAGGGAACCCTCTTTTTTTTTTTAAATTTATAATTGAAAAAATCTTCTTCGTTTAACTTTAACTTCGTAGTATATAATAGATAATGCACTACAATAAAAATTACTATTTGTGCATTAATAAAAATAACAAACAACGCAAGGGATAATCGTTTATACACTATAATATAAAAATATCAGTAAAATAAATGTGGCAAAATCGTACGATGTTCAGTACTTAATCAGTTTTCTTGTCGTCACTCGATTGCTTCTAAATTTAGAATTCTTTTATAATTGGTATTCGTTTATATGGTAATAATAATAGGATTATAAATATAAGTGCGCAAAATAAATAAATCGCTACCTCAAGATTTGCAAGCTGTTCACAAACACGATCATATTCTCTCTGAAGTCCTTCCGCTTGCTCTTTCATTGTATCACGATCGCATTGTGCCGATTTTAGTTCTGTAAAAGATTTTATAAGATTTTCAAAATTATTTATGAAACTGATTATATTCATAAAAATATATTTCAATCCGAAAAGATCAATTTCGGGTCGCAGCGCCCATTCTGAGATTTCACTCCTCGCAGGACTAAACCTGCCCAAAATCCGAATGATCCTGGCGATTCATTTATACTTATATCGCCAAAAGACTCCCTTATTTGTCTTATAAAAAAAAACCAGCGAAGCGAGTCTAATCAGTAACAAAGAGCTCTTTAAAAAAAACTCGAACTGAAGCAATATGTGCGAACATTACGAAATCTCTTGCAGTAAAGATCGACTGCCAGTCGAAATATTTTAAACTAAATAATCAAAAGATATAAGCTAAACAAATTTTGAAAATATTTAAAAATATGAGAATAATTAAAGAAAATCGAAATTTTTAAGAGATCAATAAGTTATCTTTTGAATAAAATGAATATTATTATTATTAATAATACCAATGCCAATTTCTTCCAACTGTCGTTCCAATTCTTTTTCTCTATCATTATTCTATAAAATATTTCATTATATTTCATTATGTTCATTTAAACACTATCATAAATTCCGCAATCAAAGCATAAAAAAAAAAATTGTAAAGTTTGTACCAAAAGTGTTCTCGCTGTTTTGCTAGCACTTTCTGCTTGTTTCATAGCTGCCTCTGCAGCAACTTCCAATTGCGCGCAACGAGACAACAAGGCCGAAAGTCTTTTGATTACTCTAAATGACCAAAAAATAATCCTTATATGTTTTTTTTTGAAAAAGTCAATAATATTGTTAATTCTTTAAGCCAATGGACAATCAACAAAAAAGAAATTCGCGAAAAACAATCTTCCTTTCCTTCAGAAGAAATCAACATGGATGAAATTAGCATCAAAAGTTCACAAATATGGCCTCAGTGTAAAAAATTCTTGCGAAAGATAATCAATAAGAGTGGAACACTAAGCCATCACTTTTTCTTCAGTATTTCTGCTTCCGATACCTTCTACGTATTTACGGTGCGGATAAAATCTCAGAAGATTGCATCTTCATTCGAATGTTGCACGTTATCCATCAATGGTATCGACAAAGATCGGCAGCTTCGCTGGTTAAACCATTCCCTCCTTCATCACATACCTCGTGCCAAATCTGTTGGATGCTATTAAAAAAAGAGAAGGGCCTAATTAAGAATGAGATAGATAAAACGAAGAGAGATTCAGAAAAAAGATTTAGCTTAATGAGCTTAGGTTGGAGGGAAAGGAATAGCAATTTTTACTTTTAGATATAGCATCGGATCGGACCGACAAGCTCGTAAACGCTGGGAAATATTTATTACAATTTGCAGAAAAATCGAAGAATTTTTTAACTCGAAAAAAACTCTTCTCAACAAAGGATTCTTCGCAAGAATGAATTAGTTATTTAATATTTAAATTATATGAAATTTATCTTTTTTCTTCCCTTGTATAAAAAACACATTTGCTAATAAAAAAAAGGCTACCAGATTTTAGCTGTGAAACTGTACCCTTGAAAAAAAAATTTTTTAAACAATTTCTTATATAATTTGCATAATATTGCAATATTCAATTCAACCCACATATGGGCAGTATATAAGCTCTCAGAATCAGTTCGGAGCACAGTAATCAGTACACGACATAATCAGTAAATCGAATAGGTTGAATAAAATAATAAAAGAAGGAATAATGAGCGAAATGAAAAGGATATGAGGGAATCTGAAAAGTCATCAGAACTAGGCTAGTCTTAGAAATGATTAGCGCTTATTTACTTTACTAAACAGAAAAATAACATACAAGAACAAAAGTAATGCGAATCCTGAAACATAAAGATTTCGTTGAGCACGGAAAAGACGCATATGAATGGCATTTTCTGCATCTGCTGTATGTCTAATAGATGCTTCTAAAGCTGCTTCACCGGCATACTTTCGTACTTCGCGTACTGCATCTGTTATTTGCGAAGAAATAAATGAAAACAATTATTAATAATAGATTCAATTAATTAATAAAATGAAACTGCAAAAGAAGATATTTGGTTAATTAAAATAAAAAATTGATTCAATCAATTATTTGAGAATTATTTCATAATAATTTTTGGAAAACTCCATTATCACTGAAATCATTTATATCAAAATATTAATTAATAATTAATTAATCAAAATTAATAATAATAATATTAATAATGAAATAACCGGCGAAAAGAAGAAGAAGAACGCAAAGAATTGAAATAAAATATACATTTCCAAATCTCGCGAACGCCAAAACCAAACGACTCTTGAAAAATTTTTTCCACCTGAAATTACAATATTAAATGCTTTCTTAACCATTTTTCTTCATATATATTTCTATGAAATTTTGTTATACCTTTTAGATAATTAAATAAAATTTTTTTTTGAATCTAACACTAATTTCTACTGATCCCTTAATTTATAAGTCAATCAAAGTATCGAAAATGAATAATAAATAGAAAGGAATATAAAAAAACGGTAGAATTGCTCAATGGGGAGTTTAGAGCGCCCTACAAGGGTAAACTTATATGCAATAATCTGCAAAGGGCGACGCTGGTGACTCATTCACACTTCCATAACCGAGAGGCACCTTGGCGAAATTGGTTTGGTTCGATAAGAGTCTTAGGATGCATCCAACAATGTTGAAGGCTTTCAGAAACAAAGAAATCAATGAAGCAAGAAATTCGAAGTTAAAACTAAAAACTTGAAACGAAAAAAAAAGAATTAAAAAATCTAACAATGATGGTCGAATCCATGGAAGTAATAAAAGAAAAACAAGACCGACTTCAATGTACAATATAAGAGCAACAGCAAACCACTGTAGAGTCATCGCTTTTCCAGTTGTTAACAACTTAAAAAAAGAAATGATAAAATTAGAACTGATAAAATACTAATCAGCAAAAGTCAGAAAAAGCCAAATATGTCAATAAAATAAAATTCTAAAAAAGAAATCCGCTTCCGAATAAATCAAAATCAAAAGATATTATTGATCGCTTTTAAAACAAATAGGAAAAATTAAAAACTAAAAAACAGTTTATTTTAAAAATTTTATTTCCATAATCTAATATTTCAAAAATAAAAAAAGAAAAGAGAAAAAATGAAAATTTCACTTATCCTGAAATTGCAAAAAAAAAATGCTTCTTTTAACTAACAACGAAATATTTATTTTCTCAGAATTATACACAAGTTATTTTCTAAAATATTTGCGATAACGAATATTAATAAATTAATGCTTTTTGCTTTAAAAAAACGTAAAATCAGAAAAAATTTTTAATGAATTTTTAACAAATAAAATAATGAACAAAAAACAAAAATAATTGTAAAAACAGAAATTTTTAAGAATAAAGGATGAAAAAATAGAAGTTTTATAAGATGAAACAGTTGAAATGCTAATTAACAGCGAAAAAAAAAATCAAATTCTATTCCAATTTTTATTATTTGCCATTTGCATATACCCGAGTCCATTCTTTCGCAATTTGTATCGCTTCTGCTTCATTAGTTTTCCACTGTTCGGCAACATCAGTGGCCAGAGGATCTTCCGGATTCGGTGCTGATAATAATGCTTGAATTGATAGTAAAACTGTGCGAATCTGTAACGCCGGTGACCATTTATCTGAAAAAAAAAAATTCACAAAACATTAAATTTTATCATTACATTTTTTATTTCAAACAATTTATTATTTATTATCGAATAATTTAAATAATTATTTTATTTTACAATGAGATTATTTTTTTATTATTTTTACAATGAGATTTGGAAAAAATTAATGATATTACAAATCTAATCATTAATGTGATCATTAATTCAAACGTATTTCGATGCAATTTTTCTTGATCGAAGAAAATTATAGCAAACACATTAGCCATTAGCAAATACATTTAAAATTTTTAAATTCGTTTGCTAATGGTGAACTGCCATTATCAAAGAATTTCTTATAAATATAATATCTGATACGATAAGACAAGCGAAGACGAAGGACTTTGCCCTAATATTATTTGATATTTATTTTTATATAAATATTGCATAACAATTTTTCAAATTTTACCAGTAGAAATTTATATAATATAGAATAATTAATAAATAATAATTAATAAATAAAAACAGATTCAAAGAATATAAAAAAATATTACAAAACATATTTAAAGTATATATATTTAATATAATATAATATAATATTTAATATATTTACAACGAATAAAAAAGCGCTCCTCCTTGGAAACATTATATATACATTTATACAGTCTGTCTAGGTTAAAGTCCTACATGGTAAATCTAAATATTATGGAGGAGGACGAAGTCCTGTCAACGTAAAACTTCCTTTGCATCCCTTCTAATAGTGCCGTGAAAAAAGTTTAAACCAACAGTCTGACCAGTAGGCAGATATTAAAAGATCCATGAACTTGACTTATCTCCAACTAACTTTAATTTTTTTCATTTATGGCTGTAAATAACGGATTATCACCAGTATCTATCGCCAACAGAAATAAATCGCAAATACTTCCATAAAATATTACTTTCCTATCACTACCATTTGTATATCCATTCGTTCCATGAAATCCACAAATTCATCAACAGAGAACCAACAGCACAGCAAAAAATGCTTATAAATCTCAAGCTCAAGCAAAAACTTTTTAAACAATAACTTTCAAATTTTTTAGTCGCTGGTCTAATAAAAATTTTTTTGCCAAATTATAAATTTCTACTAGCAATAAAATATAAATAATATGGAAAAAAAATATAATATAATAAAACGATGAAATTATAAAAATAATAAAAATAAACCTTTAAGAATGTCCAAACAAATTCGTCCGAGTTTATCGATATTTGGATGATAAATTTTCGTCATAAAGCGAACCTTTGGAGCTGCCATTGGATATTCCTCTGGTAAAAAAAGTTCTAATTTAAAAATTCCACCAGCAAATGGACTCCCCTCTGGACCAGCAATTATCACGTGAAAATAACGTGCGTTATGCTCATCGGGTGTCGCTGAAATTCCCGGAACTGGATCGGCCATTAAACGTTGCGTTTCTTTTATTATTCGCCTTGGTAACGCACCTGCCATTCTCTCTCTTTTTTTCCCTTTTCACTCTAAAATTTAAAAATTAAATTTTTTTCTTAATAGAGAAGAAAAAAAAACTTTTTTAAAACGAATTCTTTAATTTCTAATAGAAAATAAAAATAATTAAAAGAAGAGAAACTGATAAAAATGAAAATTTTTCTGATAAATGATCAATTCAAAAATATAAATAAAAATCTAAATCATCTTAAACAGATCATAGGGCGAATCATAAAATAAACAGATCATCCCGAAAAGATTATCCAAACAGATCACCCCGAACCGATCACCCAAATAGATCACCCCGAATAGATCATCCAAGTAGGTCACCCCCAACCAATCACCCAAACAGATCACCCCGAATAGATCATTCGACTAGATCGCTCCGAACCGATCACCAAAATAGGCTACCACGAAATACCAAATTAATGAAAAGAAGACAACAATACCCCATGCGAAAAAAAAATGCAATATATCGGGTATATATACGACATATGATTCTGTTCTAAAACTCGGATATTTTTAAATATACGGCTGTTATTTTCGTTTCATCGTTTTGGAACTTAAGGGTCATCGAGAGGTCACTTCTCTTGTATATAGCTGCGAGGTCATAGGTCAACCGCAGTAGCCATAAAGTGGAAAGGCTCATTTGTGGGAATTAAAGTGAAAGGATAAATGTTTTTGTCGCGGTTTTTATTTTATTTTAAATTTAAATTTCGAATTATTTTTTTTTTTTTCATGAGAAATTTATTTAATAATAGTTCGAATAACTGAATTAGTTCCACAGGTTTTGGATTTTTGATTTGAACCAACACTAGTAGTTTTGTATTTCTTTATTTTCATTATTCTCTATTAAGGTCTATTCCAATCATCCACAGCTCTTTTAGCTCTCCGTTTTAGATTCCATCACCCATTAAACTTGTTAATATAGATTTTTTACAAAATCTCGTAACCCAACCCCTCCCCCCCTACTATTGTTTAACTGTTTCGCTAGATTCCGTTTTAATCTAACATGCTGCTAGTGTTTGCTTTGCTATTTCTTGTTAAAATTCCACAAAAACCTATTATGCTAGCTGCGAGGTATCGGCCTGCTTGTTAGGCTTTTAATGCCCCCCCCCCCCTTAACTTCCGTCGTAATTAATGAAAAAAACTCTCGCTCAGCTAAACGAACTTTTGATACATACAACGCTTATCTTTATCATTTTGCTATAATCCATTGTCTTCAATGCATCGTAATCGTTCTTAATTAACATCACCTTAAACTCGTTTTTTCATTACTTTGCCCCCATGACAAATTCAGTTATTCAATTCAGTCTTATTTTATTCTGTGTAAAACCCTGTTAAATTCCTGACTTTACGTCTGTCGTAGTTATAGTAATAAAATTGCAGAGGATTGCGATTGCAGGAAAGTGTACGAATAGTTTAAGGAGAATTAATGACGCCTGTGAAAAATGTGCAGCAGGTTCAAAAAAAAAAAAAAATAATAGCTTTCAGATATGAAGGGATTTGGTAGAAATGGAGTTTTAGGGAATGTTTTTAGCAATTTTTTGTAGTTTGATATGATTTTGAGGTAATTATTCGGTTAAATCATTAAATCATTTTTTCCAATGAAAAATTGATTAATACAATTTAAATACTAATTTATAATGAAAATAACTTAAATGAAACAACAAAAACAAATGAATCACTTTTGAAATTGAAAATCAAAGAGGAAAATCACAGTTCCTCTTTGACATACTTTGATTTTAACTCTTCGATCCTTCTTACATATTCGCTTTTTTCAGTGCATCCCTTACAACTCTTAAAAAAAATGAGAAATTAGTTTTCTTAATAAAAAAATAAACACTAAACACTTAATTCGCCAACGAAAACATTTAATTAGATCCAACAACAATAGGAAACAAACCTCTCCCCAATCTTCTAAGATCTTCTTCAAATCCTTTACACGAAATGTTTTCAAGTCAATTGTTCGCCAATCGATTTTCTTATCTAAATAATTATTTTTGAGAGAATATTTTCGAAAACCAACAAAAATTCAGAAGTTATACCATATTTCAATTCACATATCTGCGCATCCTTCACTTTTAATTTTTCGCAAACTTTCTCCACAGGAATTGAGTTCGAAAGAGGTTGTGTTACATCTTTCATTATTGATGTTGCTGATTCTGGTAATGCTCCAATATAGAAACACTGGAAATAATTGAAGAGTGAAGGATGAAATGATGAATCAATCTTGAAATCAATTCAAAGATTTCTAAACACTGAAAATATAAAAATATTTTGAAAAAATTCTTTTTCACGATAAATAATCCTTGTTTTTTTCCCAAATATAAATTTTAAAAGATGAAAAATACGTAAAATTCAATAAATCTATGTTCAGACAAGTCCTCGATACTTGTGAAATATTTGTGAACAAATGGTACCAAAAAAACAAACCAATTTATTTTCCTTGCCTCTAAGACCTCCACAATGTTCCCTTATTTTTTCATCAATGACTGTTGCCTTTGTTTGATCGTTTTTCGGAATTTGACTCATCGCATCCGTTAAAACTTTCACACATACTAAAAAATTTATTTTTAAATCAATATATTTAAAATTTTTAATAATTATTTATTGTTTACATTTATTACAAGTATAACAGAAAATAATAGTAACAATTCAATAATAATAACAGAAAAATAATAGTAATAAAAATTTATAAAATATTTGAAATTTTAAAATTTGCAAATTTTTCATGGATTGGAAAAATATCTCTTTCAATGCATATTTTAAATTTTTTTTTTGCTATAGTGAATTTTAAAATTTAAAATTTTATTCATTTAATTATCTTTTGATTTTTATATTATTTTATATTATTTTTATATTATTGTTAATTATTTCAATTTATAAAAGTATCGAAGAAAACTTTTGCGAAAAAAATCCAATGAAATATATCGAAGTTTTTTTTCGTTAAAAAAAATATTTTATATTCATATTTCATTTCGAATTTTTTTTCCATCGAAATAATCGATATTTGAGAAAGAAAGCAAAAAAAATATTTCTAAATTGTGAATTTTAAAAAAAAAATATTTCCTCCCTTTTTAAAAAAAAAAATAAAAAAAAGTCGAATTTTTAATTTAAAAGAAACCTTCACACGTTTGTTGTTGACGAGCTGAATTAATTAAGTAAGGCATTATTGTAAATAAAAATAATGAAAATGTTAAATAAATATCCATTTCAAATCAAAGACACGCCAAACCTCCGACAATGAATTGAAATGAAAAAAACGAGGAGTGCGACGGTGAACGCTCTATGATGACGACTACTTGGAAAGGTGCCAAGTGAACGTTGTCGACGCATTGTCTACGAGTTGTCTTAATTTTTGGCGGGAATTTAAATGTCTACGAGTGAAGCATTTTTGTTCATTATTTATCATGACTTGGCTGATTTTTTTTCTCTCGATAGGCGCGTGAAGTTGTGTACCAAATAACCGAATAGTGTCCAAATATTCTATTATCAAAACATGTAACAATATTTAAACAACAACATTTTTTCACAAAAAAAAGAAAAAGAAAAAAAAATTCGACATATGAAATACGAAAAAAAAGAAGCCAAAAATAGAGACTCATAGACTCATATTATCATTTAATATTATCATTTAATCATTTTTTTTCAATTTTTTATTCACTGATTAACATTATTATTATCATTTAATATTATCATTATCATTTAATCATTTTTTTTTTCAATTTTTCATTCATTTATTGAATTTCTTAATTTTCTATTCTATTCGCGAATAAAAAATTATTTATTTAATACTTTTATATTTATTTAAACGAATAATATTTTTTTCGCGATAAATAATCGCTAAAAATCCTTTATTTGCTGATATAGCATAAAGACTTTTATCAGCTAATGCTATATCACTAATCACTTCAAAATTATCTTTTGTATCGATTTGTCGAATTTTGCCTTGACCAATATCATGTATAAAAAATTGTCCAACATCATCAACGCATATTGCACCTGGTTTTTCGACGACAGCCAATAATTTACGCGCACATATAGCTGATTCTCGAATGCTAAGCATCCATAGATATCTGCGATGTTCTTCCACAACAAATAATTCAGTGATCGGACCAATTACGGCAAGCACCTATAAAGCATCTCATTCCTTATCATTCGTTTAGCGCATGCGCCTGTAAAGCATCTCATTCGTTATCATCCGTTTAGCGCATGCGCCTATAAAGCATCTCATTCGTTATCATTCTTTTAACGCATGCGCCTATAAAGCATCTCATTCATTATCATTCGTTTAACGCGTGCGCTTATAAAGCATCTCATTCCTTATTATCCGTTTAGCGCATGTGCCTATAAAGCATCTCATTCGTTATCATCCGTTTAGCGTATGCGCACGAAATAAATGGTAAAATAACGATAAATGATAAAATGATAATGCTGCGAAAGATAATACTTGAATATCAGTAAAACATTGTCCTTTCTTATAATATAATTCAGTCCATCTACCCTCAGGCGAGAGCTCATAAAGTGCAGTGAATGTTTGACTCGATACCGCCATATAAATGAAACCAGTTGATGCGACACATAATCGTTCACGACTGATTGTTTCCTCTTCGATCCATTTTGGTCCTTCGATTTTTGCAATATAATTAAGATTTTCATCAAATTTCACCAGAAAACGCTTCCACGTTGTTGCGTCCTCTTCACTTTTAATCATCATTGAAACCTTTTAAATAAAATTTTCAAATCAAAAAAATATATAAATAAAAATATTATTAAAAATAATTTAAAATAATATGCTAAAATTAATAAATAATAAATAAATAATGTTTTTTAAAAAACTTTTTTTTTCAAATTTTTCATAAAAATTTAAAAATTTATAATTGTTTCCAAAAAAAAATAATAAAAAATAAATTTTTTTTTAAAAAACAAAAAAAAGAGAGATTAACTAATATTTTATTATTTTCATAAATAGCAGCAGCCTGAGGCCATTTCCAATTCGAATTTGTGACTTTTCGAATAAATTCTGAATGAATGGAAAAGAGAAACAATCCTGCATTGTTATCACTAATAAAAATATTGAAATTTGATAGGATCAATGCGCTAGTTGGTTCAGTAAGAAAGCAATCACCGAATCTTGCACTATCAACATTATGCCATTCAATCCTAAATTATCATTTGTCGATAAGTTGGTACTTATTGCTTTGCTATTTTATTTCAACTTTTGAAGTACCAAATCTTTTAAAGAAAAATTTAAAATGCTTGTTTTACTCCAAATTTATTCCGTTTTAAAGTAATTTCTTACTTATTTGAATGAATTATCAAAAAATGAAAATTTTTAATAAGAAAAAAGTAACGGTAGTAATTTAATTTGACTGAATCTTTCCGTTATTTTAATTATTATTAACAAATAAAATGAATATTTTAGAACTTTCAATAAATCAGAAATTTTTATAAAAATATGAGATATATTTCTGCTTTTAACAATTCTCGCCATTACACTGGCTAGACTGATTGCGCTAGCAGCGAGGATAATATATTTCCAGGCCGCCCGGTCTGATATCATTGCTGATACCGGAAGTATATATATTGCTGGTCCACCTATGCGATGAAAATCCTTTCTTATTGTATCAGTCCAGGTTTTGATTAGCACATCTCGCTTCTACCACCATCCATAGGAAGTATTGAAATATTTATCAATGTGTTGGTACCGTACCGCTGACATTGACGCTCTCCTGGTACTGTTAGTGCTATAATTTAACAGTAAATAAAACTTTCCCCTTTCGACCCAAGACAATTTTCACAACAGGCATTACAACAAGTACTGTGATGAATGAATTCACGCGAAGATGGATGCAAAGTAAAATTTTATCCGCTCGACGAACCCGTAAAATATACCTTAGACAAAAGTGGTCAAACGCAGATCTACTTAGCATCCTTTATTCTCATCGGCCATGTCTCGCAGCCAAAATCGAGCAATTGCAGCTATATAGATACTTCCGTTTTTATAATGATTTCTCGACAGCTCCAAAAGGATTTATGATTTTAAGATATATTAAAATATAATTTTTATAAAAATATTTTATTTGTATTAAAATTAAAATAAAATTAATATAATAAAATTATCGCAACATATATATCAAGAATTCATTTTAAAAATCTTTAAATCTTCAAAATACGTAAAATGATGGTTCTTGGATCCAACTAGGTCATTTACGCTTTGTGGATTAGTGATAATGATCCGTAATATACGCAATATATAAGTAAAACGTACCTTCCGCCCACGTTATAATCTTTTTTGGTTTCTCCAGCGAATTCTTTTAGCGTTATCACTTCTTTTTGTAGCTGTTAAAGTAAAAATAAAGTGAAATTCAAATTATCACTGGTGATCAAATTATAAAATTAAAGATAAAGTGAAATAGGAGAAGGCCAACGAAAGCAAATAAAAATCCATTTAAAATAATAATTGTGAAAATTTTAGCAAAAAAAAAAATTTATAAATAAATTGGAAACTGATTGATAAGTGGTACTGCACTACGTATTTCTGCACATATCTCATTCACTTTTCATTTTTGAATGGATTTTATTTATAAAAAAAAGGAGGAGATAATCTATTGGTGATTAGCGGTGTTGATTGGGGAAATCGGGGTTTAGATGGCGAATTTGGTGATGAAAAAATTAAAAAAAATTATAGTCTAATACACCGTATGTTTCATTGTTTTTTCTTAAAGGAAATAAATCTATTCTTTAAATCCGATACCAAAGATTCACTTATCCACTAAATAAGAATTTCTAGCGAAATTCTCTCATTTTGCAATTTTGCGATGTTCAGCGAAACTAATTGGAAATCGGTGAATGTCGTTTTTTGAAAAATTCGGAAAAATTTAACGCTAAGAAATAATGAAAAAATTAATAATAAATAAATAAATGAATGAAATTAACAAATAATAATAAATAAATAAATACTTCAGTTTTTTCTTCAAATAATTGTTTATTAATTTCAGCAATTTTTTCCATTTTTTCCATTGTTTTTTTCCGTTCGATTTGTTCCTCTTCCAACCTTAATTTTTTTAACAATTATTTTTTATTTTTTAATAATTATTTTTATTTTTTATTTATAAAACAATAAAATAATAAAAAAAGATTTTTGAAAATATGAATATGAATTGGTAAATCTCGAAAATTTTTTCCATTTATTGGACATTTTTTATTGAGTCCATTGGATTCATCAAAAAAATTTACATATTACAATGAGAAAGGACCTTAAAAGAGTAGATTTCTGTTGTTCCTTAAGTTTATCGGATCGATCACATAAATTCATCACCAAATTCATTGTTTCTTCAGTATTTTCACGTAGTTTTCTCTCATATTCACTGATATCAAATTCCTCAGCTGTTGATAATAATAAATCGTTATCAATATTTTCATTGCTTTCTGCTGTTGCATTTACTTTATTGCAAATCGATTGCACTTCATTGGATTTTTTTGGTATTTCATCCTTTAAAATTTAAAATATTCACATTGGTATTCAAATATTTGTAATTATAATTATTCACATTGAATATTAGTAATTAAAATATTTTAATTTATATGAATATTTTTTGATAATAAAAATTTTGTATTTAAATTATAAAATTGAAAACTGCAAAATAAAAATTAAACGATGGAAAATCATAAAAATATAATCGAATGTATTAAACGATGAAAATTTTTATTCAATTTGCATAGCAAGTGCAATTAAAAAAAAAATTTCCAAATTTAAAGTTAAATTCAAAAATTTAAAAAAAAACAAAACAAAAATGAAAAAAAATTGAAAAAATAAAATAAATTTCAAATATAATTGTTGAATACAATTTATTCATTTATTTATTAAAAGAATTCAATTATAATTTTAATTTTGAAAAAAAATATTTAATTGTTATAATATTTATTTAATTATTTAAAAATATTTAAAAATAAAATTGATTTTAAATAATTTTCTTTTGCAAATAATTTAGATTTTTTTTTTTATTTGACTGAATGCAAACTTTGTGGAATTTTATAAATCCACAATCTATTTAACTTTTATCGAATCACTCAATGAGTGTGGGAAATCCGACCAAAATTTATTTTTCATTGATTTTATCGAAAGCATTTATAAAACAAAAAAATAAATATTATAATAATTATTGAAAAATATCGAAAATATTTATAATTTTAAATGTTTATTAATAAATAAATATTGAATATATATATATATATAAATAATAAATAATATAAATAATATTTTCATATCAAATACATTAATTCATATATTTTTATTATTTGGAATTTAATCAAATTAATAATAATATAATAATAATAGATAAAAAAACAACAACATAATAATAATGATAATAATAATAATAATAAAATGAAGAAAATAACTATAACGATGATAATAATGATAATAATATTAATGATAATAATGATAACAACAATAATAATAAATGATAAGTAATAATAAAAAAAAAACGAGAAAATAACCTCCTTATTTTGTTGATTAATTAAATGATTGCTATAGTTCGTCGTATTATCGCAGAGATCATTTTGGAATGATTGTTGTTGGCTTATCGATAAATTTGTTTGAATACCATTTTGTAAATGAAAATTAAAATCACTTCTACTGGACTGAGAATTTTGCTGATCGGTGAAATTGGTGTTTTGTTCGCCTTCTTCCCTAATCCAAATAATTTCTTCATCCATATTTATTTTTATTATTATTATTTTTATTATTATTATTGTTAGTAACACCTGAAAGAAATTTACACAATAACAACTAAAGCTGCGATACGAAACGAATGAATTACGAAAAAATCTGTCAGTTGCTTTCGCATATTTTTCACTGCAATAATTTTATATAAATAAATATTTTTAAGAAAAAAAAATTTATTGCATTCACTTTTTTTTTTTTCAATTCATATTTTAAAAAATTTTTATATTTTATAAATATTTATTAATATTTATTATTTATTTATTATTTATTAAATATAATAATTAAAAGATAATTGATTGCTATCGAAAATCGAGGAATTAAGTTCGAATTCATCGACGCCACCACTCATTCTTCGTTAATCGCCTAATGGCGAATAAGTAAACGAGAGCGGAATGGCTTAGGCGGATTTCGCTGAACTCGGATTGTTGATACTGAAATTCTACTTCTGGCAGGAACGAAACTATCAAAATACTCGAATGATGCTGGCGAACTTGTATTTTTAACTGATTAACATATTACTGTACTTCACTTCAGAGGTGGAAAAAGAAGTGACTTGAATCTCAATTTCCTGGCATCAAATTGGAAGGGGTTTGCAGGTGTTTTACCGAAATCATCAATGCAGTTAGCCAAATCAACGATGGTACCAACCGCTAGACAATTTATATTTAACGAGAATAATGATAGGAAAAATACTTATATTATTTTCAAAATAAAATTATTTTCGCAATAATAATCTCCCATTAAAAGTGATAATATGATTGTTGAGTAGTTCCATTTGTACTTCTATCGCATTGGTACTCATAGTGGGAATCAGCTAAGCCAGAAGTTAACTACATAAAATAATCACAAATTTGATAACATATCAAATAACGATGATTTTACGAAACTCATCGTTGAATATCTATTCTCCATCATTTTTAATGGCTTTTTTTTTTGCAACTGTTATTGCACTTTTTCGCCAGTTTTTATGGCACTTTCCTCATAAATTCTAGCTTTTTTCAAATATAAAAAAATTCATTTAAATATAATATAAATATAAATAAATTTTTTATATTTTAATGCTAATTCAGGAAGCTCTACTTATCTTCATCTTATCATTGTCCGTTAAGTTCGCTCTAACTGATAACAAATTTCAAGGCATTTCGAAGCCTTAAATTGGGCAATTAATATGGAAAGTAATAAGAATTGCAGCCAGTCTTTATCATTTTTCTCTTGATAATTCTTCGATAAGCTTATCTGCCTTTCCTCAATCTCCTAAGCCTCTGTTAAAGGAACCAAGGTCGTTTCCTCAATCCCCTAGGCCTCTGTTAAAGGAACCAAGATTGATGTGGTGAGAAGAGACTTTTTCTTATACCTTTATTTCTAAGTAAATATATAACGCTAGCCATTATTCTAAATGAATCTACCAACTGTTTCGGACAAATTATTTGTCTATATTCCCCCAATAAATTATTTAAGATAGTTTCTCAAAAATATTTTCATTTTATAGTTGACTGCTTTTCATTTGTTCATTAGAAAGTTTCTTTTTTTTTTTTCAAATTTTTGCCAATTTTTTCAACAATAATTTACAGCGAAACGTGCAAATTCCAGTATTACTGATATATTTAAAAAAAAAAATTCTTTACAATGTTATTCGAACCAAACCATTTATTCATTAATCTACCAGTTTTTTATTTATTTATTTTTATATAAATATTATATTATATTGCCTTGTAATTTCCTCTTTAAATTGTTAACTTTTTATCATATTTTCTTTTTCTTTTTTTTATCATTAATTATTATTATTGTTATTTACTGTTGTTATTAATATATAAGCACACGGCGTTTGTTAATCTTCTTCGTTGGTTTTCAATAAATAAATAAATAAATAGATTAGATTTAAATATTATTAGATTTTTATATAAATATTGAATATTGAATTTTTATAATATTATTAATATTAAATATTGAATTTATATTTATATTTATATTTATTGAATTTGAATTGAAAATATTAAATATTGAATTTTTTAATTTCATTTCACATAACATAAATAAAATTTTGCTATTAATAATACTTTTTATATTTTAAAATATTATATTTCATATTTTAAAATATTTTATATTTTAAAATATTTATTGAAATAATTTTTGCATAAAAATTTTACCAATGAAAATTTTAATACTAATCAAATATTAGAATTAATTTGCAAAATTTCAGTAAAAAATTAAAAAATTTTTTCTTATTTGCTGGAAAAAAATCTCTTATCATATCATTTCATATCATATCGACAATCATCAGTTTATTTCTTCAAAATAAAATCTTGATTGATGATAGCCAGAAATATTGGCATAAGCAAAGCAAATGTACTCATCGACGAAAAATCATTACCGCAGTCTTCGAAGCTTTTCTCCTCTTTCTTTATATCTAACATCCACTGAAAATCTCCTTCATAGAAGAATCTCTTTATACATAAAATTATTCCACGAAAAAAAAAAAAACGTCAAATGTAAATATAGAAATATCCATTAAATCGAAACTTTCAAGTGACCAATGATTTTTTTCATTGCAATGATATGATAAGTTTGCATTTCCCTTAAAGAATATTTCAAGAGAAACCACTTCGAAGAGTTAAAAGAGTTAAGACTAATAAATACGAGTTTTAGAATCTTATCGCTACTATCATGTATTGATAAAGCCCTTATTAATACTTATTGTATTCAACAAAATAAGGTAAATTATAGTTAAAACAGCAATCAATTAGCTTTATTTAAGAAATAATTTATGTTTTAATGTTGTTTTATGAATGCTGGACATATTTTTTAAGTGATAAAGAATATAACGATGTATCAGGTATGCTGATCAAACAATTTTCCATGTTCCATGATGTTCATTAGATAACAAATTACAGAATGAAAAAAATGAACAATTTGAACAAAAGGAAAAAGAGATGGTAGCAGAAAAATAGGAAAAAAAAATCTGTTTTCATCCAAACTATGAAAATTGTCCTTTAATTAATCTAAATATTGTGACAGCCATCTGAACCCTTCACCATAACCCTGTCGCCTTAAAACTGAACACATAAATACTTCCAATGGACGTGTTGATAGATCAGCACGCGCAATTTGTCCCTACAAAATATTATCTTTAAAACTCCAGGGAAATCATAGTAGTAATTTTTTCGTTAAGGCTAAGTGATTATAAGATTACTAGATAATAATAAAAACAATAACCTTGCCAGTAGTTAAATTCATAATTCCTAAATGCCACTTCAATTGATCTTCACCAATCGCATTTTGTTTATCGATCTTATTCCCAAGTATCAGGACCGGGCAATTAGCAACTTGTTCGTCAGCCAAAAGGCTTTCCAACTTCAATGACAATTTCTCATATTTACCATTAATAATTAAGTTTAAAATTTAAGAAAATATTTTTATATTATGGATGGAAGTTGATAAAAGAAAAAAAATAAAATGAAACTCAAACAGGATGCACTTTGACTGTGGAACACATTCAATCATTTTCCTTCAGTCTTAAAGTTGAAAATAAAAAAAATTTCAGAATTTGTATCTAAAAGCATTAAACCTGTCAGTATAAAAAATCTGAGGAGCTATAGATGTACTTATATTTCTATCCTTAAATGATTCAGCTAAAAACCCTCATCGTAATAACAGTCAATAAAACGAGTCTAACAAGCAGTGGGTGATCTAGAAAATTCTTAAATTTAAAAAATTATTTTAGACAACATTGTTAGAGAAAATAATAATTCGCAGTGAATGTTTTTATTTCTTATGAATAAAAAAAAAGTAAAAATGAGAGAAAAAAATATTAAATTAGATACTTCGCGTTTACTTTCATCGATTCTTACCACATCAGCACAATCAACAAGAAAAACAATAGCATCAACTGCTGGAAAATAGTCTTTCCATACGCGTCTCGCTAAAAATCAGATGATTATGAAAAAGTGAATCATAGTTATAATTATAACACAAAATAAATAGAAAAATTTTGAAAAAAAAACATTCTAACATGATAAAAAACATTCTAACACAATATTTTTATAAACTGCGTAAATATTGAAGGGAACTCACCTTGTTCATGCCCACCAAGGTCAAAAGTTGTGAAACGAATCCCTCCAAGAGATAACTCTTCCGATGCTGAAAAGAAAATTTATTATTTTATCATTTAATAAAATGATTCACGAAATTAAAAAATCATAAAGAATTTCCAAATTTAACTTTTAAAAAAATTATGGAAAAACAAACTTGGATGAAGAGTTGGAACATGTTGCGCCATGCGATCATCTTTTAACATATGCAATAAAGTTGTTTTACCTGCATTATCCAATCCAAGAAATACCAATTTTCCATTCTTTTTTGTCAATCCTAAAATACTTCAATTTATCTATTTATTTAGAAAAATATTGAGTATTTCTAAAAGTACACAAGTTAATATTATTAAAATATGATCAGTTAAAGTGATGAATTATCAAAAGATTATCTTTATTTTTAAAGTAGGGTGAAATTTTTCAAAATAATTTCGATATAAAACTATTTGATAATTAAAAACGACTTAATAAATAAATAATTAAATAATTTTAAAATAAATATTAAAATTAAATCAGCCAATTCTTTTCTCATTCGGACATAAAGCTGATAATTAAAAATAACGAGTGATAACCAAATAACTGCTGACATAATTTTATTCTCACTGATAACCTTGAAGCTTCCCATTAATTTCAACTAAATATTCATATTCGTTTATAATCATTCATCAAAAATAATCCAAGATAACCGAATGTTTATTGCTCAGATTGTCATCTCGCAGACCTTCCTCCTGGTAGCCTAGTAAACCTGCTAACTCGTATTGGTACCACCGACCCATCTGTCGCTGAATGGCCTTTCCAATTGATAATACTTGGCGATATTTCAGCAGTTTTTTTCTTTTTTTTTTTACAGATTAATTATAAATGATACTAATGAATTGAATTTAAATTTTTAAAGTAAAACAAAAATTTTATGAATTTTTTTAAAGTAATTTTTCTTTAGCATAAAATAGTTTAAAAATAATTTAATAAAAAACGATTTCTACTAATTTTTTTTTAAAAAAATTTTTAAAAAATATCAAATTTAAATAAAAATAAAACGAAAGCAAAAAAAAATATAAAATTATTAAATAAAATTAAAAAAAATTTTTTTTTTTTTTGTAAAAATTCAATTCAATTTTTAATAATAAATTAATTTTATATAAAAAACAAACCGAGAAAATTCAAAATATTTGACAACCAATCCCACATCCATGACATTTCTACTTTTTTTTTTATTAATTATAATTTTTATAAAAATTTATTTATTCGTAATAAAATACACCAAAAATTGGCAATCAGCCAACAATGACTATTATTTTAGTTCATGAAACGCTACGCAGTTAAAATTTCTCCACGTGTCGCATTTTCTTTCTTATCTATTACACAGAATGAAAGGAGAGTTGTTTGTTGTTTAGTACCACAGGCAAGTTGTTGCCAGGTGGGGAAAGGGGGAAGGGGAGGGGAGAGGTAGATCGATGGACGATGGTCGAGTGCTAGTTGGATTGCTTTGATTCTTGATAGATGTTACTTGTTTGATCCTCGCCTTCTGGTAGCATCAAAAATGAGGTGCGCATGGCCAATTGGTCTTAAATTAGCTCAGTAGATAGGGGCCAGGTGCTGTGCCAACTTTGCATGTTTTCAGCCCACTGTTGGATGCATGCATGCAATTGTGCATGTGGCAACTGCTCTGCGAGATTGCTTTGGCTTATTCGCAGATATCTTACTTGTGTTTCTGCTTTCAGTGGTTCTACTGTTGCACTGAAATTGAGACTATACATCGAATGATTCGTTGAAGACCATTGATCTTTTTTGCCTCTGCTTCTGTATTTTCTTTAGCGTATCTCCTTATCTCCTTATCACCTAGTGGCCAGTACCTTAAGCGTTCTACGTTTCTGGTGAAGTGTAGTCCTTGTGTTTTTCCAGGATCTTATTTCTAATCCTCGCACCATTCTATGTTCCTGTAGTTCTGTCAGCTGATTAACTTCCAGATCTTATTTTCTAGCCTCATTTTCCAACATATATTCTTCTTGATTCTTGAGCCAAGCTTTTCTAGAATTGCACCGTTTACACCAGTTCATCAGTTTCTTTTACTGCCTGGTGGTGTGTTTCATTGAGTCAGTAGGGTTAAATACAGTTTATTCCTGATTTTTTGCCTCGTGCCAATCAACTGCTTTGCATTAGAGATGTTGGAAAGGAATTTCCAGTTATTGCGTTTGCACTTCTTACTTCTTTTGGATCATGGATCTAGGATAGTTCAGAACTAATTTATCTTCATTAAGAGAGCAGCTTTTTTTTTCTGTGATAAAGCGATTGTCTAGCTGTTTCTCACTTAATGTGATTATTTTTTCAACGACGCACAGTTCGTTCATACACTTCATGTTTCATTAGGTCTGCTATAATAGCACTCCATCAATTCCAGATTATCTTGTCTTGTCCATGTAAAATTTATTCTATCAGGTCTTTTAACGCCATATATTCCTGGTTCTACAACACCTGACGTGGGCCTTGTTGGTCGGGGAGATGACCGACCCTGTATGAAGATAGAAGATAGCGACGCTCTTAAAATATTGGAGGTAGGACAGGACAAGCTTTCAAAGAACCTTTACTCGAAAACACTCATAGCGAAAGGTGGAAGGTTTCTTAGATTCCATATTAATCGCATGCCATAACCTTGTAGTGTAGTGATGATGTTGTTGTAATTATAATTCTAGCAGGAGAATCTGGCTGTTTTTTAAAAATCCACTTGATGCCGTTGTTTCATCTGCATTTCCATCGCTAGTTAATTCCCTTGTAAAATTTTCTAGTACGACAGACGAATGAAGCGAGCTTAATCTTCTGGTTAGAAATGATGAGCGCTCCTTCAAAAAATAGAACAATATTAAATCTTTATGAATTTTCATTTTATCCGAAGAATTTCCATAGATTTCACGAAGGATCCTTTATGCTTCATCATATTGCTAAAAATTTATAATAAATTTTATGCTTTGGAAGGTTTCATTCCTCTAATTCGGCCTTATATAATAATATAAATTATAATAATATAATATAGATATAATGTAATAATGTAATATAATAATGTAAATTCTGATTCAAATGGTATTAAAATAATAAAAATTTGAGCGAGTCGCTCGAGTTAAAACAAGAGAAGTCTGAAATGATTTAATTAATCAATCTACAATCGTTATTGCAAGTCATTGCACTTCTTTTGTTTGTTTGTTTTTTTTTTCTTTGATATTCGGTGATAAATATTCTGATCATTGAAGAATTATCAGATTGTTCACTCCAGTTAATTAAAGAAAGTGACAATTTTTTTTTTCTACTGATCGTAATAATTTCTACAATTCAAAATCTTGACCGATGAACAATTCTTCTGATTTAATGAAAGAATATTTCGCGGTAATGGTACTATAAGAAATTGCCAATTATAATTAAATGAGGGAGGAACATTGGTCATATATGGGAAGATTTAATTACTTTTTTTAAAATGCATGTTTTGTTATAAATAGTTAATCAAATAGTCAAATAGTTATAATCAAATAGTTTATTTAATAATTTTTAAAATCAAACAAACTGAATTCTATGAAAAATGTTAAAAATTCACATATCCATATCCATCAAATAAGTAAATAAAATAGAAATTATAATTCAAATGGCATAAAAATAATAAGTTTTTACTAGTCGCTTGCATTAAATCCTATTTAAACCCATTTAGCCATTTGATAAAACATTTAATTTTAAAACAAAAGTCCTGCTAAAGAAGTTAATATATATACTAATATTTGATAGCTAAAATAGATTTAAATAGCAATAAAATATATAAAATGGCAAATAAAGCAAATTTTTAAAATGACCAGAAAATAAGGTGAACCGTAGTATAATTCAAGAAAATATTACTGATGTTCAAATTTCGCCGTGATGGTATTATAAGAAGCTGCCAATAATTAAATGAGGTATTGCTTAGATCTTATAATCTTATCGCGCAATATAGGATTAGTATAGGCAGTATCGATACATGCAACAAACGTTCGAAGGTGGAACTTGCATCACTTGTGGACTATAACCACCTTGTCTGAAAATTAATATATTAAGGTAAAAATTAAGCACTATGGCTTGATCTGTTCTCTTCCAAAAGGAAATTTTAAAATTCGCACAATTTGATATATTAAATATAATTTTGTGATGATTTATTATGATTTATTTTAACAATGATGACAGTATCTGTTCAAAATGTAAACTAACACAATATAGCAATTCGTTTGACCACAATTATCCTTACTCGGATCGCACGATCGGACAACAGCGTTCGACTAGAAAAATGTAAAAGGACTAGAAAACTATCAATGAGTTATTAACCAAAATATACCACAAACAAAGCCAAAAGTATTTTCATTTTTTTTTTGCAGAAGAAAATGAAACAGGAATTCATTCTTTCTTCTAAATATAATATTATCTAAAAGTAAATAAAATTGATGTAAACGAAAATCTTCTGCAAAAAAAATACACTTGAGATTCGAAATATCTTAAATCAGAAGTGGTACTATTATACAGGATAAATATATCAGTTCTAAGTCAAAAGGCACGAGTTAACCAATTAATGTTGGCATACTGGAAAAAGAAAAAAGAACAAAGCTGATGGTTAGAAAACCTGTAACTATACAAAAATAATTCCTTCCTTCATCCCAGATATAAGTGATTTGGAAAAAAAAGACCTACTTCACTTTTTTCGGCAGCTGTCATATGTTCGTTTTTCGATGGCAAAACATACTCGCAATTCAATTCCTCCGTTCGAATTCGTTTCATCGAATGTCTAGCAACCTGCAATTATTGATAAACAATTTATAATTGTAAAGTATATAAATTTAGCAAATTTAAATTATACTATTTAAAATATATTAAAGTTTATCTAAGAAAAGACTTGAATTTCGGCATTCTTTCATCGTCAAATTTAATTTTCATTAGATAGGACAGAAAAAATATTTGCAGTCGAAAAAAATTTACATATAAAAAAAAATCATTCCAAAAGTTTTAAATATAAAATTTCCTAAAATAAAAATTTCAGAAAAATAAATAATGCCGAATAATTCAAGCAATTCAATTATGCATTCTAAACCTAAATTTTTGAAATTTTTTAAAATTTTTTTTTGTAATTTTTAAGCATACGTAAAGATATAAAACATCGTAATGGTCGCTAATAAAATCATTATTAATTCCTCGTTGTACAACAACAATAACATTATGTATATCTTACCATTCATTCTACTGAAACTAAATTATTAATTTGTTTTAATTAAATTAATCAAAATTGGAAAAAAAAGATTTTAAAAAAAATTATAAGTAATTATCATCATCAAATTATCAAATATCTTTAAAAATTTTAAATTAAAAAAAAATGAAAAAATTTTATTACAAAAATTAATTTCGTTGCTAGATTCGCTATAGTAGGAAGGAAGAATTTTTAAAGGAGATGAATGAATCGAGACGATAATAATGATGAATCTTTAACAAATAACTGAAAATTCCGAGGAAGTTCCGAGGAAGACGAAGAAGAAAACGAAGAATAAGCAACTTTTCTAATAAAAGAAATAATAATACATTAAAATCGGTTGATTCTGCACTACGTTTATGCGCTTTCATTGTTTTGTTCGAGAAAATTTTTCTGAAAAAAATTTTTATTCATTTTCAGTAATAAATATATATTTGAGCAATAATAATAATAATTAAAATAAGAGAGAAGACAAAATTAAATAAATTATATTTGTAAAATAAAATAAAATAAAAATTTAAGGTAATAAAAACGAAATTTAAAGAAAAAAATTTTGCAAATTTTCAATATTTTAGTTTTTTTAAATAAACTTATTAATATTGTAAAAAACTGCTATAAAAACTATCAAATCGGAAACATGGATTTTAGGGAAATAAAAGGAAAAAAATAACAAAAAAAATTCTTATCTTTCTAATCTCAGAAAACAAGCTTTAAAAGCTTTTTAAAAAAGATGAATTTCCTTGTTTTGTAATTTAAAATAAGTGGAAAAAAAGGTTAAAATAACCAAATAAAAGAAATTTGATTATAAAATTTTAAGGAATATTAGAAAACTTAATTACACTATTAATAATAACTATTAATAATAATAATTAATAAATTGTGGAAAATCAGCGAAAATCAGCGAAAAAAAAGGGAAAATTAATTTTATTATTAAAAATAAGTAAAAAATAAAAAAATTTTTATTAATTTTTATTAATTAATTTTTATTAATAATTAAATTAAAAAATAACTCTTCAAAATTTCTATATATTTTTAATAAAAATAAATAAAAAAGAGAGGAAATTTTTATCAAAACATCAAATAATAAATTGAAAATGATATAATAAAATATATATTATAAAATTAAGAAAATTTTGAAAAATTCTTTTTTTCCCAAAATCATAGATCTAATTAAGAAAAAAAAAAAAGGAAAAGTTTTATAAATATTCACTAACGAAGAAATTTTTTTTTGCAAAATACCTGAAAATAAAATTAAATTAAAGAAAAATAAAAAAAGAAAAATTATTTCTTTATTTTTCATTTATGAATTAAATTTTTTTTTAAAATATTAAAGTGAAAAACTAAAATAATTTAATTAATGAAAATTATAAATGAAAAATTAAAAAATAAAAAATAAAATAATTTTTTTCGAATAAAAAAAATTATTCGAAAAAAATTAAAATGAATTAAAATTAAAATTAAAAAAATTAATTTGATTAAGTTTCTTATAAAATTTTAAAAAATTCTTTCACTCTTTCAATTTTAAATTTTTTTTCCAAATAAATCGCAAATATTTAAACAAAAAATGAAAAATAAAACCTGAAAGGGAAAATAAGAAAAAAATTTTCCCACTAAAAAATCTTAAAACAAACATTTCGAAAAGTGAAAAGTGAAAGACGCTACTCAACAACTGTCGAAGCGAGATGTTAACGCACTATTGTGCTGCAAAGTAACACAATGGTAGCACTATATTCGCAAGAATCAAGTAATCCACGGCTCAATAATGGAAATAAGACGGCCTGTTGGTTGGTCTCTCGAAAGCTTCAATATACAATGTTTTTTAATGGAGAAGAAGATTTTACCTGTTTCAGCAGATATTTTCGACTTATCTCGTTTTATCCTTCATCTGTGGACCTTTACTTGTTCCCATGACACGCGGTTGCTTCACCTTTAACGCTACTTGAAGATAGATATGCGGACGGGTTCCGAGAATAACCGCGATTTTACTCTCAACGATACGACTGTTTTCGTTAAAACACAAAATGCTGTAGTGCTTGATCGGACTTATTTCTTTGAAAATACATAATCGCTCATTATCGCTTGAATGATTCTTTTGGATAGAAATAATTAATAATTTTTTTTTTTCAAGAATAATTTAATAATTGCTAGGAAAAAACCATAGAAAAATTACAATCAAAATAATAGAGTTGTTATCAATGTTTCTTTTTGAGTAAAATTAGCGGTTCGATAGTTCTTCTTCTTCTTCGCACCATTACTGGTTAGGCTGGCTCCAACGGCTATAAGGGTAAGACGCTTCTAAACGGCACGGTTAGGTCGACGCAGTGGAAACCATTCCTTTTTCCATCGTCTAAGTCCATATATTGCTGATCCACCTAATCTTCAAAATCTTTTCTGACCGTTCACGTCTTATCAGTTCACGTCTTGATCTCGCTTTTGACACGGTTTAACAAGTAACGAAATATGTTAAATTCGTTGATTTTAGTTTTCAAATGAAATAAAATTTAGAACCTATTTATGCCATTTTTAATGTTTTTTAAATTTTTTAAAAAAATAAATGCTTGAAAAAAAATCGAAATTTTTCTCAAAATAGTTAAAATTTTTGATGAATGAAAATAAAGAAAAAAAATAGAAATGAAAGGAAGAAGGAAAAGGAAAGAAGGAAGAGGGATACGGTATTGATTAAACCATTAATAATCATTCTAAAAAAACAGCTTGAATTTTGCAATGAAAAAAATTATTTCATGGACAGCTACTACCAATCGATTCAAAATCAAAAATGAATATTTATTTTATAAAAATTTCAACTTTAAATATGAAAATATTATTTTATTATATATTTTATTAAAAATTATTATTATTTAACAACAAAAAATTGATATAAAATCGGACATTTTTCCAAAAAAAAATCTTTTGCAATTTAATTAAAAATCTTAAAAATTTTTTGTAAATTTAAAAAAAAATTATACCAACACGAATAAAATAATTGATTTTTTTCGAGAAAATTTTTTCAATTTAGTTTATTCAGTTGAATTCAAACAAAAAAAAATTATTGGAATTTAGCAAATATAACGTTTGTTGGAAGCGAATTGAAAAATATGCTTATAATTCATTTTTTTTTTTTTTATAAAATTTTACTGGAATAAATTATTATTATTTATTATTTTAGCTAAAAATGCAATAAAATAATCGATTGCTTAGGATTCATTGCGTTGAGTATTAATTTTCGGATGAACCAAATTCCAGCAATAATACTAAATTGTTCTTCTTCTAAAAAAAAATCTTATTTTCGAGTAATTTTATTGAAAATTCCAAAAATTAAATTAATAAAAATATGAAAGATTGAATTTTCATTAAAAAAAAAAACGATGAGTCAAATCGCCAAAATCGTGCTAAATAACCAATGAAAACGAGTTTTATTTAAAAAATTGCATTTTTAAATATTTAAAATCTAATTTTTCTAATTTATGCGATTTTTAAACATTTTTATAAAATAATAAAAAATGCAATAGAAATAAATATTTCACGTCGTATTTGTTCGTTTATTTAGTGATTCGAAATTTTTATTAATTTTCCTTTCTCTTTTCAAATACTATTTTTTTTTGTGCTTTCACTGGATTGAAATAATAAATTTGAAAATTTTGTTCATTAAGAGAAAACTATTTAGTTAAATTTTTAGCAGTGAATTCGCAATAATCGTTTCGAACGAATTTTATAAAAAAACGAAATCGGATTGAAACGAATTCGAATAGGTAAAAATTTTTTGTAATAACTTATAAAAATTTAAATATATTTTCAATATTTATTAATTCTATAAAATTTATATCTATTTAAAATCTATTTTATTAATTCTATAAAATTTATTTTCTATGAAAATTAAAGTGAATTATATTTTATAATTTAAAGTAAATTTATTTTATGAATAAATAAGTTTTTGATTTTTTTTTTACCAATATTTTTCGTTTAAATTACAGTAAATATTATTTCAATGATTGAAATTTTTTTAAGAAAAAATAAATTTTTTGAAACTTTGAATTTTTTGTAGTAAAATATAAATACGTTATAAATTAGCGATTAGAAAAAAATAAAATAAAAGTAAAATTTTTTTATATTTTTTTTTCATTTTTTAAATTATTAATATTAAATTATTAATATTTTTATTATTTTAATTTTATGTTATTTTTATTGAATTATAATAAATTATTAAGTATTTATTAAATATTTATTATTTTTATTGCATATTTTAGTAAAATAATAATTTAAAAATTATTTTCTTTTTTTGCATTTAAGTGTTGAAAATAAAGAAATTGCACGATTTTCTAGTGTTCATATGCAAGTTTTTTTCTCTCAAAAACCGGTAAAAGAAATGAAAGGTAATGAATATAAATGAACATCAAAATAGCAATTATTGTGGTGTTAAGTGATAAATTTCGACGAATAGGTAATCGAAAGACAATTTCTTTCTTATTTATTTGACTATTAAACTAAAAAGTAGTAAAATATCAATTTTCTTTTGTTGCCATTTACAGAATTTTAAAATTTTTTTTAATAAGTTTCCTTTTCCAACAATTTCTGCTTTAACTGATCTGGTTTACTTATTGCTGGAATGAAATCATTTTGCCAAGAAGCCATTTTGGAGATGGAAATAGAATTTACCAGTATCTTTGTCGGATTTCATTTTAATGATAGATTTATCATAAATCCAATCAAATCCATAATGATAATGACTGATAAGTATTATCAAATCATTCTTCCCTAAGTATTCATTTAAGTATTCATTTAAATAAATTTTTTTTATAAATTTATTTAGCTTTTACCTTTATTTTTGAAGGCTTTTTTTAATATTTTATATTTGATAAAATACGACCATAAATTTCCTGGAACATAAAATTGTAGAAATTAAATAAATTAGAATTTAAAAATGTATTGAATGTGCTTCGATGAAAAATGCTCTTAGAAATAGTAATTCTTCTAAAATCTATAAATAATTT